GCTCTAATTCTCCAAGATACAATAAAAAAATCTTATTATCAAAACTGCAATAAAATATTTCATTCTAATAATTTCGATGTTGGATATGATTCTATTATACAATGTCCTATTCTCCAAGATAGGAATATCTTATTTTTCAGCATATTTTTTTTCTCAATTAATTTAATATGCTTTTGAATGAACAGAAAATTATAGCACAATCAAAAACGATTAATAATGCCTTCAGGAAATTCGAAGGGAAACCACATTTCTACATTTTTATCTTTATATTCTGTCCTTCTTATGATTTATGATCCATCCATAAATAATTTAGAAATGTAACAATACAATTTTGTACTTATTTGATACCACTTTTATACAAGCCGTATGCTTCAGTTTCATCACAATAAAATAATAAATTTTGAGCTTTATTAATACTTTATGTGATTATTATTGTAAAATAAAATGTATAGGTTAAACAACTGCATAAAACAAATGATTACAAATTATTACTTGTTTTTAAATGTTATGCCACAATGTCTTTTCTAAACGATTAAGAGTTACAATCAGGTCATTGAAGCGAAGCATTTGTTGGCTCATTTATCTTTTTTAGTTTGAAATTAAAATTACTTATAGCTATGATAAATGAACTCTATTGAATGCACATTGCTCTAGCTCTGCCTAGCTACAAACAATAACAAAGACATCCCTGACTATGAAACATTAATACATGTAATAAAACTCGACAGTAGATCATACAACTAGAATTATCAGATCGGTACATATAAATATTTACAGGGCATATCAAATAACGCTCACATTTATTGCAATACAATGCAATAAATATAAAGTACTACACTCATTTATCCTGAATAAAATATAACTTAATGAATACATGACGTCAACACTTATTTAATTATCATCTGCGTGTATTTGTATTTTGCTGGAACGCATATATTATAATTCAACAATGATTTTAAATATTTATATGAAATTTATTTCATACAAACGAATCAATATTTCAAATTGTTTTTGATTTATTGTTCTGAACTCAAAGATATGCATTTGAAAGTGATAACCACACAATGGTTAATATGACAATAAAATAACTATCGTGGGTTATACTATAGTAATATTGCATTAAAATGAAATGCTTATCAACAATAATTATGTTTTATTGTTTTTGCAACAGTCATTAATTATACGTATTCCCTTGTATTTAATTAAATATATCTCGTAACTAATTCATTTGTTTACAAACACTGAGCATATCGCTACGGATATTTCACATTTGTTGTTTGATTTTATAAACAAATGCGAATATCAATAATAAATTGTGTTGGTGTTCCGTACAATTAAAATCTTAGTCCACCATGTTTTCATCAGGTGATTACCCATATTGATAGTCAAAAGCAAAATATGAGTTTAAAATATTAACTTTGCTCTACAATAAATGATAAAGTCATCAATCATGTATTGAGCTGTCATTTATGTTTTACATACAACTCATTATCTATCAAATATGTTTCCATAAAGCGTTTTGAATGCATATATTTACATACTTGTGCGCAATATGAAATACCGAATCATGATGACTGTACATTATTTGATGTTGTTCCGTCCTTATCATGAATCAAGTGGCATGATTTCGAACGTATGTCTTACAACCCCTGTTCAGCAGCAAAATCAGACGGACCAATATGAAAACAGCTTTTGCGATGTTTTGAAGTTCCTTCTCCAAGAAATAATTAAATTTGAAGTTTAATAAACACTTATTTTTTATAAAGTGAAACCTTGTTTGTTCAAGGAATAAGCACGATCTAAAATGTATTGAAGGAGGAGTATGAAGCGTATTTTTACCTATTTTGACTAACATTGTTTTAATTATGTTCGTTTTCTTGTGATCATTTTTTACGATTTTATTGCATTTATACAATAATGTTTTTATTCCTTTAACTAGAATGATTATGGACAAATAAAGACATGTAAAACAAGAATGTTTTATAGTATTTATTAGCTCGTCTGTTTCGAATAAAAAGTCGGTCTGTTATGATCGCTCCATCGTCATGCACCGGAACATTTAATGTTTTAGTCTATTACCCAAACACGTTAAAAAGGTATCAACATTGGACTTGAAATGCAAGTTTAACATGGTAAGGCTATGTCAATTGTTCTGAAGCTATATTTATAGAGAAGCCCCCTTTTGACTTTTTATCATGGTAGAATAATTTCAAAAGTAACAAAGATATTCAAAATAAATCTTAGGAATTTGGAATTTTGGAATTCTTTTTTACATGACAAGGCAACCTTGTTTAAGATTTTTGTCAAATTTGTATATAAAGTAAATGATTGGAAAACTGTCTGACACAGAACTGAGAATACCATGGCAAGGTACAACTATTTGGACAAGGGACATTTATCATGAATGCAATATTTCTAGGAAATAGGCCATTTTTATCTTAGAATGTTTGTAAAAAATCATTGACAGAAAATTTAAAAAATCTACTAAATTGCTGAACGTATTATTGACATATAATGTACTTGCTATTTTATTCTAGATTTTTACCCCTATTTCACATAGAAAATAGATTAAACTTATTTATTATTTCCAATATCTTGAACATTCACAATCGCGAATCGTTCATCTTACTGCGAAATGAAGTGTATAACATAATAACAGTCTTTTATAGACGAGCATTAACAACATATGCGGTGCAGACCGGCCATGTGAAACAATGCTCCTGTAATGACAGAAAACTAGATGAGATTCAGTCAAACTAATGAATAAATGAATAAACAATTGTATTGTAAAATTTATGAGGTCGTTAATCTATAATAAACCAAACAAATTGTATTATTCAAAACAATGACATAATCGTAGACAACCTTCTTGAAGTGCAGCAAAAGAATTCTAGGTCAAGATTGCGGAAAATGTATCACAATAACAAGTCATGAAAGGAAACAAATACAATAACTCTCCAGTTCATTTTTATTTCATGATTTAAAACACAATTCAGAAAAATAAAGAAATTAATTCGGCATGAAAATGATTTAAATAAAATTTAAATAAACGTATATACAATTATTTCAGTATATCTGAAGTGAACATAACTGAATGCATAATATAAATATCCGCTGCTTTTAATTTATATGTTGTCAAGGAATACTGATCACAAATTTACATCTACGTTTTGATATCTAATTGTAACTGACAACTTCATGAAGTTATATACAATTGTACTTGCCACTTGTGGTTTACATGTTTTCACTTATCTAAACTGTTTACATTTGATGAATTAAGTTACACTCAAAATAGAAAAAAAGTTCAACATGTTGTTTAATCGTTTTGTTTAAAGAAGTGTTTTTATTCAGTCAGTGGCGGGCGCCAATAAATTGTCTTAATTTTTTGCTGACTCGAAATGATAAATTTAAATGTTTGAACTTTTCTATCTGTACTTTTTAACAGATAAATTTAATGTGAAGATTGAAAGTGTATATTATGAAAGTGTAAACCGTAATCATGATAATCATTTGGAAAAAGTCAAAATTGTTCATTTTTTGTAACGCTAATATTTATATTATTCGTATAACCACAATGCAAATGAAATTTTGTTATTTACATGTGTAATACTTCAGTGACGAAGGCATGATGAGCTGAAGGTACTTTGCTGATTTATATACCAGAATTGTCTCTATATTTGACATTTGAACCAGTAGAATTCACACTATCATGCTACGAGTGGGTTTTCGGGTGATAACCTGATTGCTGCTTATACTTTGAAATTGGTGGGTAGTGCAGGTGCCTTTTTTTTATCCTGAAATGAAAAAGGTCCGTGTGTTAGATGCATTTAGTATGGCCTGAAAAGAAAAAAGGTCCGTGTGTTAGCTGCGTTTAGTTTGGCCTGAAAAGAAAAATATCCGCGTGGTAGATGCATTTAGTATGGCCTGAAAAGAAAAAGGTCCGTGTTGTAGATGCATTTAGTTTGCCCTGAAAAGAAAAAGTTCCGCGTGGTAGATGCATTTAGTATAGCCTGAAAAGAAAAAGGTCCGTGTGGTAGCTGCATTAATTTGGCCTGAAAAGAAAAAGTTCCGTGTGGTAGATGCATTTAGTTTGGCCTGAAAAGAAAAATGTCCGTGTGGAAGATGCATTTACTTTGTCCTTAAAAACAATTGCTGTGAGAGGTATGCATTTACTTTATCCTAGATCCAACGAATACCAAACAACATAGTCTGAAATGGTCACAGGGCAACAGCGCAGCCAGTACTCTAGAGTACACGGTGTTAAGTCACAGTGTTTAATTACAAACGATAAAAACTTAATGTAAATAACATAACTGTTTGTCATGTGTGTCAAGATCGTCATGAGGACAAAAAGACACAAATTGACAACTCGCGTCCGAGTGTATCCATGAAGTTTTCCTCATACAACGTTTGAGCCGCGTCACGACTAAACCAACATAATGCGTTTGCGACCAGCATGGATCCAGATCAGCCTGCGCATCTGCGCAGTCTGATCAGAATCCATGCTGTTCGCTTACACACCCTATAACAAGTAGTGAAACTGATAGCGAACAGCATGGATCCTTATCAGATTGCGCGGATGCGCAGGCTGGTCTGGATTCATGCTGGTCGCAAACCCATTATGTTGGTTTTGTCGTGACGAGGCTCATTTGTTCAGACAAGCGTGTTACAACTGTCTATTTTTCGCGTGATTCATCAGTTAGTTGATTCTTTTACCAATTAAGCAAGTTGTCTAACTTATCTCAAACGAAATAAAACACAATTATAACTTTCATGTCAATATTTTACATTAGTTTGCTCTCTTTTAACGGTAACCTCTAAATGTTTATAACGTGTGACATGTTTTAATTAACATGACACGGTAAAAGTGATAATAATGAATTACTTTACTTTCCTTCTACATTAATTAAAGTTGATTTGTAAACGTTTATATGCTTAATGAAGTGAATAAAAATTCAACGCGATTATTTATCTGTTGTAGACGCTTAGAAAAAGTTAGATCCTTATTGTTTTATATCATTTCAAACAAATACGGTTTTTGGATATCAGCTTTCATAACTGTCAAAGATGTGAACTATCAAATATATTATGTGAATCTTAGTTTTAAGTTTTCAGTGCGTTTTGTATAATCGACAGGGAGATATTGATCGGCCGGCTGATTGGAATTCATTATTTATTTCACACAGTTTTACATGAAATTATTTCGTTTCAGGTAGGTTAACTCTTGGATATTTGTTCTCTTCTAGTTGTAAATCATATACAAGAATTTTTAATCTCTAAAATATAAAAGCCAATCAGATAATGTATTTTGGCAATCTAAATATCCATATGTGAAGAGAGAACTATAAATGAATGGCTGATGCAGTCTGTAGTACATAATTTTTCTCATAATTTATTTGTCAAGTAAGAACAGGAAGAAGAATTATGAATCAGTTTTCATAATTTTGGTAAAAAAAATGGATTGTGTATAGGTTGGTTGATATAATATATTTAAATATGGAACGCTACCCTGTTACTACTTCAATACTTCAGAGGCGTAAACCCAGATGAGTTTGTTTGATTGTTCGTGTTCTTTTAATGTCAAATTCCGTTACGCAATTAATTCGTGTCTATTTCTGGATTCCTGACTGTATTAACAAATTATTGCACCAGTATGAAATGTCAATTTGAAGGATAAGACCGAATTAGTGAATGCCAAGTTGAAGGATAATCCCGCTACTAGTAGGGGATTCATGAAATATCAAATTGAAGGATAATCCCGCAACTAGTAAGTGATGCTTGAAATGTCAAGTTGATGGGTAAGCCCGCTATTAGTGGGTGATGCTTATAATGTCAAGTTGATTGACAAACCCGCTACTAGGGGTGATGCTTAAAAAGTCAAAGTAATGGATAGGCCAGCTACTAGAGGTTGATGCTTAAATTATCAAGTTGATGGATAATCCCGCTTCTAGTGAGTGATGCTTGAAATGTCAATTCAATTGATAAGACCGCTACTAGGGGGTGATGCTTGAAATGTCAAGTTGATTGATAAGCCCACACTTGTGGTGGTGCTTTTACAATAAGCCTGCTTCTAGTGGGTGATGCATGAAATGTCATGTTGAAAGATAAGCCCGCTGCTAGTGGGTGATGCTTGAAATGCCAAGTTGAAGGATAATCCTGCTACTAGTTGGTGAGGCTTAAAATGTCAAGTTGATTGATGAGCCCGCTACTAGGGGGGTGATGCTTGAAATGTCGAGTTGATGGATAAGCCCGCTACTAGAAGGTGATGTGTGAAGAAATGTCCATAACCTCTTAAGGGTCTTTGCTTTTCTCCTACTTCACTTCAGCTATTTTTTGCAAAATATAATATCTATAGGTTAAATGTAACAGTTGTATATTAACATCATGTTAAGTTAAACATACATTATTTGTAAGGACTGATGTCTACGTCTGTCTTGTATACAAACAAACATTGGTGTCTTATTTTAACTGCAGGCTACCATGTGATGAACTAGAGACTCAACTATGTGGTTTGATGGCAGCTTGTGTTTTTGCTGGGTCATCATTAACGTGATCGTGCAGAGTGTATACAGCATTCATCACATTGGTAAAATATCTTACAATATAGTCATTCATCTGTACTCATTCCATCATACCTTATGCTTGTTAAATACATAGATCATCTGTGTTTTAATCAAAGTTAGGTAAAATATATGTCTAGCTATACGAACAAATTTTTCGTTGTATTGACAAAACCCTGTTAGTTTTAAGAGGTGCTTCTGAACAATCACATTTGGCATGACAAAATATCACATGTAGTTTTTCTTTAGCTATATGGAACTTCTTTAACATTTAAGATTTTGTTTATATGAATAACTTTGCTTTTAGAACACGCGTTATGCAGTTCGTACGTGGGTATTAAGTATTGTAGTTATGAGTCCAAAGTATAGACAGTTACTTCTCTTATTTTTTTCTTTTAAAATCTATACGTGTATTTGTTTTCTAAACGATAGTTTTCACATCTTCGTGAGTACGTGATACCCTTTTCAAATGAAAAGTACTTTAATCGTTATAATATTTTCGTGATATGCTATTCGTCTTCAACATTATGACGATTGCACTATTAACAATATATTTCAGTTCTAATGTCAATGCATATTACTTAATATAATTTCTGAGAGGTTCACATCTCGGACAAGAATTATAAGGATTGCTTGCTGTTGGGATCAAATCCGTTGATTCATTTAGAAAAAGTCTTTACACTCAATGCCTAGTACCGGTTGGTCCCATATACGGATTTGATTTGAGAGCGTTTCTATAGCTTCTAACAACACAATCTAACTATAATAAATTCTGTATAAACTAAATATTATTGAATGAGATGGTGTTGGTGTAATAAAACCTTCTTAACATGTACATTTGTACTGTTAAAAGTGTTACCATCTTCTGTTCTTTCGGGATATTTGAACTCAATATATCCAGAACAATAGCTAAACGTTAGATACCGTAACGGATAATGCCAATGTATGAGTTGGGATGAAATATCAAACCATTCATTTTTCTTTTATGAACGCACTCATAAAAACTTTCGCACAATTTTAATTTCATTTACTGATGTCGGCTCTCCCTGTTTCAGAACATTATTTATGTTTTAACTTATTTCATAAATACGACCCTAAACAAGTAGTCTAGAAGGAGTAATTAAAATAAGATAGAATAAATGATGAGATGTTTCTAGAAAAGATTAAATATTCAGAAATAAATATAAAAGTGACAACCGCAATAGTTTTAATTATCGGTTAACGAGTTTATTTCGCTTCAAATGACATTTGAAAATAACATCAACAATGAAACTAAGTGACGTATAGAATGTGAAAATAAGAACACAAAATGTTGAATTTAATTTTAAATTATTTCCGGTTATTCGAATATATCGTGCATTTTATTACTTCCAACACTTTTAGTTTATACTTACGGACATATTTTTTTATCAAAATGTAATGTGACTTTCCATTTTTCAGATAATTGTTCCCTGTTACCATCAGAGCTTGGACCGGACTGGTACAAAGTACCACAACCTGTACCACCAAGCAACAATGGAAAACCAGCCTATGAGCCAAACTTTATACATATGCCGTGTGCACAGACAACCGTGTTTGACATTGGTGTCTGTGGATGTACAAATCTTATGTCGTTTATATTTACATCAGTCAGTAAGAATATCATTTAATCACATTTTTATCATTACACACATTATTTTTTTTATCACCGAAGTCATCTATCCGACCTAATACTTAAAGTGAATTACCCAGGGCAGAAGAGAACTTGTGATTAAGATGTATGCTATTCAACTAATGAAACTTTTAGATCAAGCTTTGTTGGGATCCCGACTATGTTTTTTTGTTGTTGTTGTTTTATATAGGGAAACAATCCAGTTGATTTATAAATGTCTTATTTCCAGTTCCCACCGCTCATTATTTATAGACTTATGGGAAAGTCATATAATGACAATGTTAGTCTCGTGTTGAAATGTGAACTCACTGACGTAAATAAAACAAACATTCAACTTGTCAGAAAAGATATATAATATACTTGTACGTCTTTTTAAATTAAAACATTATATCATGACTCGTTATGACGGGTTGTCTGCAGTTATTAGCAGTCGAGGCGAATGGGTGATGCAGACCCGTTCTTGAAGCTTACAAGCAACCAGAAATATACCACTACGGTGATATATATAAATGAGCCGCGTCACGACAAAACCAACATAATGGGTTTGCGACCAGCATGGATCCGCGCAGTCTGATCAGGATCCATGCATCATGCTGTACGTTCGCTTACAAACCCTATTACAAATAGCGAAACTGATAGCGAACAGCATGGATCCTGATCAGACTGCGCCGATGCGCAGGCTGGTCTGGATCCATGCTGGACGCAAACCCATTATGTTGGCTTTGTCGTGACGCGGTTCAAATATAGTTAAATCAAAGTAAATACAGATACCAAATAACGAGACAAACGGGACACATATTTACTTTAAATATAAAAATACGAAGTAAAAATGAAAAGTTGAATGATACCTTACGATATAATTTATACAAAAGGGGGAGGAAAGTGAGATAAAATCAAAATATGGAGTAGACAGGGTTACAATGTACAACCAAACAGGATAGAAACAAATGAATAATTTATAACAATAAAAGCATTATAAGCATGAAAAAATGACGCCTTTATTATAAGTCAAGATAATAATAGTTCTCATAATACTAACGTACAAAAATCAAGCTTGATCAGAGAGAATAAATAATGCTTTATCTTTTTCAAGCTGAATAAGTAATCCTATTATCGATGAAAGTATTATTACCTTAACAAACTTTTCTTTATCAATATAAATATATTTCCCAAAACGATTCGTCACTTGTAGGGAAAATTTCAAAAGAAGTGCTGACTGAATCCTGGTATGCACTTGTCACATGGACAAAATCACTTGCCGTCGGCAGACTAAGTATTAGGATACTTATTCCATAACTCACATTTAATATTTATATATAAATAATATTAATCCGCCTTTGACAATCTCATCAATCTGTTATTATTAATAAGTTTCAGCTACTTATTTATTATATCTATTTCAGATAGAAAGAAAAGAATCCATAACACGATTAATAGTAGGAGCAAAGTAGACCCACGTGATATAGTGAAACGCGTTGGTAAGGAAAAATGTATACTATTAAAAGAGCGATATGTTTGCGATTTATAGAAACTGCTTTGTCCATCGTAAGTTCTAGGACATACAAATTTACTTTCAGAAAAGTTAAGAAATACAGTGACAGACCCTTTCATTCGTAATGTGTAAATGTAATTTCCTTCAACAAGACATTGAACTTCTAATTAGCTCAATATTGTTTTTAAAGCAAACATCGGTTTGCTAGTTCGCATCGACTTTTTATTTCTAAATTCCAGTATGCCGATGTTCTTGCTTATTCTTGCGTGATGTCGGACAGGACAGTTTTCCAAATAGAAACAACGGCTGTCCAAAAACAAAATAAACGATTTGTCTTAGAGAAAACTGATTTGAATTCAGCGGCCTTACAAACGAAGTACTAGTATAACAAAAATAACAAATCGTTGCATTTATCAATATAGTTTATCATTTTTGGCTCTTTTTTTACAGAACCATCAACAACTCCAAGACCACTCGCTGCAAGTCTGCTAATAAATACACGCACTGGGGAAGGTAATTCTTCAACATTAATATATTCATGTATCAATAACATTAACATATCACAGTAATTTTATTAAAAGAAATGAGAGGACTTCCATGAGCTATTGCAGCTCGCGGTCCAATCCCTTTATGTTTTAATTTGTAAATTATTAACATGTGTATATATCTTGAATAAAAATATGTTTTAACTTAATGATATGTAACAAAAGTATATCGCTAAAATAACATACTCGTAATTTAATTCTTTGTTGAAAATTTATGACATTGCTACACTTCTTGTATCATTTACATAGTCTTGCAATTTGGAGATGTTCGATTTGATAAACAAATTTCATACTACACATTCATATATAAGTTTAGTAAATAATCTTAAAAAATTGTATTGATTATAGTGAAAGAATGTCCTTTCCGGGCCTCATCACGTGGACCAATGTGGTATTTAATTCGAGAACCAAGAGATAATTGGAGGCATATGAAGTGTGCTGCTGGAACGTTGTTTGAGAAAACAAGTTGTACTTGCGTACATAAACTCGGTAAGAGTAATGTTAATACCGAGTTTTAGCTAGTTACTATCCATTTTTTGAAAACTGAAGGATAAATATGAGTTTTATAACTAAAATTCTAACTTTCTTTTTTGATTTTCGTCCCAATCATAATGATGCATGATAACGTTAAATAAGTTTTAAATTTGGATATATTTGATTTTATCTTATTTCTGTGAATTTGAGAGATTCTTTTTAAAGGCTTATCATTTCAGTGGACTCAAGAGATCCCGAAAAACCAGAAGATGCTAACATTATCATTATAGAAGATGATTTCAGAGGATTTGCTTCCGTAAGTTAACATCTATTCAATAAGAAATTGGATAAGGTCTTGTAAAGTGTAAATCAAAACGTAAAATATAGCAAGCAACGTATAACTTTTCTAGAATGACGAAATTACAATATATGTCTGTATAACTGATTGCAGATAAGATTTCCTAAATCAGTGCACATTACTGAACATAAGAAATGTTCTTGTTCCAATAAATGTGTCTCTTCTAGAACCATGCACTGTAACATATAGTATTTTACTTTACAGGACAATACCATCAGTCAAAGTTTGGGTATTTCAGTATCCGATATAGATTTCTCCGCTAATCAGCGGGCTGAAGAAATTCCCTACTGGAGGAGAACCGATATTCATAATTCAAAAGTCAAAAAGCAGAAAAAGAAGCCTAAAGTCAAAAAATCTGATGTAAGGGTAATACTGCATGACCATGGCAACATCACTGGACAAGCTGTTGAAGATCCGACCAGTCTTGGTATCGGTAAAGATCAAATATCTGATGCACATAAGAGTTTATTCCTAAGAGGAAGCAGAGGTGGTCTCCCATCTCATTCCAGAACGAAGATCTCGCCTCTTGTGTTAGATTCCAATGTCCAAAATGAGCCCCATAGGGATAACAATGGACACTCAAATGGTGCTCATGACTCGCTTATTATACGTACAAAACCAGTCAAAAAGAAGAAACAAAATACCGAGAGTTTAAGGAAAGTTGCAGTGGACCCTGATAATATTCTAAATGTTTTGAATGAAATAAGTACAAAAATCGATGCGCTTAAAGATGCGGATAAAGTTATCGATCCTGATAAACGACATGGGACAGCAGGTACGGAAACGAATAATTATGATCATAACCCTGAATTTTCCCTGCTTAGAATAAGGAATACTCCATTCGAAGATAAAAAAAATTAATATCAAATACAAAAGCAATGAGCCATCAACAGACAAAGGATGGTCATCAGATGCACAGATCTGCAGACTGATCTTACTTTATAATGTTGGGAAAGGCTAATCATGTTTGTTTTCAGTAGATTAAGTGCAAAATTATTGTAGTTATATTTCTACATGAAAAATGTCACAATGTATATTTCTCTTTGTGTATTTAATTTAATTTTAAGATGTTCACAAAATATCGTATATGACCAAAATATAAGTAGAGTTGCCGTGTGTGTGGTAATGAAACGATACCATTTACAACAAAAAATATCACTTTAAAATCTTAATAAAAATGTTTAAACTGTACTAAAGCTGATACGGTCCCTAATAAGTAGGGACGAAGAAAATATAAGAAATTCAAACTTAAAAGTGGTTCCGTAAATATAAAATGGCATATACATGTATTTCATATTTGTCAATTAATGTATTTCCTTTTGTAATCGTTCTTTTACGTTTTTTGCAGCTTCCTCGGTAAATGGACCATTTAATGAGAAATATCATGCTAAAGGTATGTTTCTTTTTATTTTTAACATGAATATGTTTTATATATGCATGTAGTTTCATGAATGACCTAATGATTGTGCAGATTCAATCCGTTGTGATATTAAGATTGTCCTTAGACAAGGAATGCAGCTTTTTGTACTTTTTAGAAATTCCTTTGGCATGTTTTTATGAATATAAAACATAATTAGAAGTATATCATTCAAATAGTCTGTTTTCAAAAAGTTCATATATTTATGAGCTGAAAAAGGAAAATGATGCCAGATAGTTGTTTATTTTGACAATAACATATATTTTCGAGACATTAGTATTTGTATACATTTTATGTTAAATGTTGAATTCTGCTGAAGCCGATGCTAAGGGGTGTGAACGGTAGCTTACTACTACAGTCCATGAACGACTCGGTCAAACCGAGCCTTCAACATTTTCAGTTTTTCCGTGTTTGACATCTTTGGGGATTCTGTTTTAATCTCATTTGGTGAAATGTTAATTTCCTTTTGATTGGTTTTGTAGAACAATGTCAAAAAGAGCCCCTGGAGACGCTAGGTCCGCAATATTTTCTGTTGCACGTGAGAGGTCTAGGTAACATACCGTTTACATGTCATGGTAATACAGTGTACGATCACAGTTTGTGTGCCTGCAAACCAGCTATAGGTATGATACTTTTATGTATGAATTTTCTGGGTTTTTTTATCAAAATGAATTACTTTATCTTGTCTTTGTTCAGTTCTTGCAATATTGCAAAAAAAAATGTTACAAAACTTTTCTTTATATAGCGACTGTGTTATGATGCGCCCTGTCCTGTTTTGTTTCGGGCCTTCCTGGGCTCCTTGCCACTGGTACTTGTTGCTGGTTCTTGTGGGGTTGAGTTCATTGAACGCCGCCTTTGATGATCTTGTTTATCATTTTAAATGCTACATTTATGTTAAAGATAAGAACCTGTTATTGATAGTGTGTAATAATCGTGATATGCGTACGTATCTAGGAAGAAATCATATCTTAACGATCATAATAAATTCATTTTACAAATATCTAATTGTTTTGTAGGAGAGGAAAATGAATAGGTTATGCAACTCATATAAGTGTTTTTATTATGTTAAAGAAGCTATTAATATTTAAATTTATAGTAAAACTGTTGCCATTTAAAGCCAAATAAACAAGCTTTATAAATGATTATTATTTCCTTGATTACAGCTGATACCGCATATGACGAGGTCAAATTTCCAGTTAAAGGTATATTTTCTTTATTTATCTACGATATCCTATTTACACTGGAGCAGAAATTCCAACCGATGCTCACTAACATAATAAAAACAAGAATCTTGCTTGGGTTAAAGTTATGCTCCATATTCTCGAAAATCTTGAATTTTTTATGATGATTTTAATGGAAAAATAAATATCTCACAACCAAAAAAAAAACAAATAAAAACAAATGATAAGTAAACAAACGAAGTAAAATCTTATAAAACTTGATGTAAGAGGGATGATAAAAAAATTAATCTGAGTGTGTAGCTAAATCTTTACCTGTTAAATGCATTTACATAAAAATACACGGAACATAAAGCGGAATTTATCCCCTAAATGATGCAAAAAGTACTTGATTGAAGGCCATTTAATTACATGCAGTGCTTTAGAGCGTATTTTTCGTACATTTAATCACAATAAAACAATCATATTTCTTTGTGTTGTTCTTCTTTTTCAGACTGTACTAAGCGGGCACTACCTGCATTAGGACCACAATTTTTCTTGGAACATCTGATTGGAGTTGGATATATTCCATATGTTTGTCACGGGCAAAGAATCTATGACCACAATTTATGTGCATGTATTTAGAGAAAAATGAAAAATAGAGTAGACCATGTTTCTATCGCCTTAAATTGATCTGTAAGATAATATAAACAAGTACTGTATATATTATGTTTAGTGTTTTATGATTTTCCGAATACTAGTCTTTTGTTTATACTAAGTTCAAATAATTTGAATGAACAGACATGAGTATGCAAAAAAATACATGCGAAAATTGACTAGTGTAAATATATAATTGCTACGATGATGTGATTGTTTCAAGAAAGTCTGGCAAATTACGTTTTATATGAGTATTTAACCGCAGTGATAAATTTAAACCCATTATTATAGAAATAATTAGTTATTAAAAGTGTTTTATTTCTTTACGGATTTCAGTTTTAGATACACTGATAATGTCGATGAAATCTATTTATATACCCCAAAACGGTTATTTGTATTGTTGAAGTTTATTTATTTCGGAACCGTTGTAAACATAACATGGATCAGCGCACTTCAGAAAAGGTAAGTCATGTGTGTATGGATAGTATTGTAATACTTATTGGCAATACTATTTGCAGTGAGACATTGTAGTGTAGTGGTAGCGCGCTGGTCTATCAACTTTACTGGTGCGGGTTCAAATCCCAGCATTTCCTTTTTTAATACTATATTTTTTTTCAATGCAAGGGTAATTCTCAAATGTGCGCCATGTATATAAATAACAAGATAAACAAACTTTCAGTCAAAATTTTACTCTCGAAAAGACGAATATAATTGTATCTTACAAGTAAAAGTTATAATAAGAATCAATCATTTCGGCAAAATACGAGAATATGAAATCTCATGTTTAATACAATTCAATTGGGCCTTTGTGCGACAAGTGACATTTGGTTTGGTTGAGTTGTATGTTATGGCGCTGTTTGAGGGACGTCATCACACTTTGTACTGAACAGAACAGAACAGAACAAACATTTTATTTGGCACAAACATATATACATGTTCATCGCCAATACGTTGTAACAATGTATGGCGGTAAAGAGTAACATAATTATGAGAAAAGTATAACATAATTTATCACACAAACATATTAAAAAGACATTCGAAAAGCTGTTAACAAAATATATATACAATCTATAGTACAGGATATACATTTAATATGTAAATTATTAGTACATACGTGTTTCATAAACAGGGTGATTGACATGTTTATTTGTATTTTAATAATTTAGTTCATGTAGACAATTATTGAGAAAATAAAATAATTATTTTTATGACAATAATACAGTTAAGACAGTAAGTACATATTGTAACGACTTGACGAATACTAATTTACAAATGTGTACTTTATATAATTTGTATAAAAGTATAATATATCGTTAACGTTACTATAATGCTTCGTTTAATTGTACATTTCCACGTTTGCAATTTGCCAGATAGATATATTTTGCAAGTTTGTTAAGAGTACATTTATTTTCACATTTCATCAAATTTTTAAATTTCTGTATACTTGGCCAAGAATTGTAATATTTTGGCAGATTTTCCATTCTTATTGATCTATAATATGGACATACCATCAAGAAATGGTATTCGTTTTCAATCACATTCATGTTACATTTAGTGCATTTTCTATTGTTTCTATCAATATTCCGATGTCTGCCTTCTTCAATCAACAAGTCATGTGCAGAACATCTAAATCTACACAATGCATTCCTGTAATTTATATTATTAATACATATAAGATATTTCTCTGAGGAAAATTCGTTTTTAAATAAGCAATATGTATCTAATTTTGACATACTATGTATACTATTATACCACATTTGAATATATTGATCTTTTACTCTTTGTATTAATTGTTGCAATTGACCATTTGAGATATCAACGTAGTTCCACATATACGAGAAGCCAAGATCATCTAATAGTTCTTTAACTTCCAAAGACCATCTATTCACAATAATACCATTAACATCTACCATTTCATACACTTTATAAATCAAAGAATCTCGATTATTCTTCAACCTTTGCCAATATTTCAAAATTCTTATTTTTCTATACACATACAAAGGAAATCTACCTAGTTCACCATAAACGGTTGCATTTACAGTTTGTTGTCGGACATTTAATATTTGCTTTAAAAACTTGATATGAATACGCTCAATATCTGGAGCTTTATGAAGGCCCCAAATTTCAGAACCATAATTTAAAATTGGTAATACCATAGCATCAAACAATTTTATCTTTTCAGAAATATATCCATTTGCACTTTGTCAAACAGCGCATTTAATGAATATAGTGCTTTGTTTGCCTGCTTTGATAAGGCTTTCTGTGTTTGATAAAATTTACCATTTGAAGATAGAGTAACACCAAGATATGTAAATGATTTAACAAAATTCAATTTCTCATTATTATAAAATACATCAACATTTTCATTCCTATTTCCATTTTTAAAAAGCATTACTACAGTTTTGTTCGTATTTACCATAATACCCCACTTTGCACAGTATTGATGTAGTTTGTTTAACAAATGCTGTAAACCATCCACAGAGTAAGAAAATAAAGCAGTATCGTCAGCAAATAGCAATAGAAATATCTGTAATTCGTCAACAGTAAATGTATCTAAAGTGTCTTCGCTAAGTTGAATTCGCATATCATTAATAAAAAACAGAAATAATAGAGGAGATAATGGTTCTCCTTGCTTTACTCCCATGTATGTGTCGAAATAATCAGTTAAACAGCCATTTACTTTGACACATGCTTTTACATTCTCATACATGACTTTAAGCATATTTACAATTTTTGATGATGCACCATAAGAAATTAACTTGAACCATATACCATTTCTGTATACCACATCGAACGCCTTTTTAAAATCTACAAACGCTATATACATTTTCTTCTTTTCATAATTCAATATTCTACTTATAATACTATTCAAAACAAAAATGCAATCAACAGTGCTTTTTCCTTTACTAAAACCAAATTGACATTCATCTAATACATTTACATTTTGCGACCACTTTCTTAGTCTGTTATCTAATATGATTGAAAATACTTTTGAAAAAATACTTGTAAGGGTAATACCTCTATAATTATTTATATTAGTCAGGTCACCTTTTTTAGGTACAGGCACCACAATACCTTTAGTCCAACTTTTCTGGATATATACATTTTGAATACATGTGGTTAAATAATTTACATAATAATGGTGAAATAATGTGTTTACAATCTATAAAAAGTTCAGGTGTAAGAAGATCATCCCCACTACTTTTGCCTTTTTTAAGAGAAGTAATTGCCCTTTCAATTTCTTCAATTGAAAAATCTACATCTAATTCATCAACTAAAATATCGTCTGATTCCGAATTATTTATATTATCTTCTACATCCCTATCAGTAAAAATATCCCTGTCACCGTACAAATCTTTAAAATGTTCATAAAATTGATCTTTACTTATTTTAGACCCTTTTGGATTACTTGACTTAAGTTTTTTAATCTCAGACCAAAATTTTGAGGACTATTTTTCGCTAAATTATGAAAGTTTATCTTTCTGTCTATTTTTGTATTGTACTATCGCTCTTCGTTTTGTCTGTTTATATCGTCTTCGCCTTATAACAAGTAAGTCTCTATTATCTGTAGACATACATATTTTATAATTTCTATTTGCATTACGTAATTCTTTTCTTGCAACTTCACATTCATTGTTAAACCAAGGATTTTTACCTTTACGTTCATTATTCTTAAAACTATGTACAATTTTTCTCGTGCCAAAAACAGAACGAGCATTGTCATATAAACACTGAGCTATATCATCTATACCTGTATCAAAATCTATATCAGACGATATTATATTATTCACCATTACATCTATACGATTATATTCAATATCCATAATATCTCTAAACTCTTGATCTTTGTCTTCATCATACTTTAACTTTACACCGGAACCAACACGCTCATTTTCAGATGGATTCAACATACATTTTGCTTTAAAACATACTTGTAACGGTACATGTGTTGAAAATGTATATAAATCGTGAACAATGAAATTGCTAATAAATGGAAATAAATCACACGTGCATAACACATAGTCTATCAGGCTATTACCGTTTTTGGTTTAAATTTGTAAAACTTCCTATTCCAGCATCGTCTCCACAACGACCATTGACAATTTTTAATGTACTATTAGCACAAATATCTAAAGTTTTATACCAGAGGTATTAACACATTCATCCATTGTAAACCTATGTGGCAAGTCACATAAAGTATATTCAATATCTCTATTCATAACATGTATATATTTATTAAAATTCGACTCATTATTCAAGTAATCGTTTCTGTTACCACATCTAGCATTTAAATCTCCGATAACTGAAACTGAACCAATTTCAGAATATTTTCGTACATTTTCTTCTAAACTTTCGAAAAATCCCAATTCGTGCATATTAAAGTATACTGAATTATTTGGAGGAATATATAAGAAACATATATAAAGATCCTCCGATAAATGAAAAAATATCTTACAAAACCTTACCCATAAAATTCCTGATTTATCAATATCTACAACATTCATACCAGGCTTCATGTTTTCTTTGATAAATAAACAAATACCACCGTGACCTCTACGAGAAGACAAACTTTCGTTACAAGGTACAAATACTGACTCATATTTCAAAAGAATCATTTTTACGTTGCCATGTTTCGGAAAAAAACAGTACATCAAAATTACACAAAAAATTTAGGAACTCGACGTCACTTTAACAGTTTTTCAGACCTTCAATATTCCAAGACAAAAAGTTCAATTCATACTTTTCTCTTTTCTAGTCTGTACCATGTGGTATCGCTCCGATAGTCGGCGCGTACAGCTGATTGTTGATAAAAAGCTTATCCCGGACCAAAACTGCTTTCTTGCCGTCTTTCCTGGCTTTCAGCATCTCCGGGATAAGGGAACGCCTACGTTCCATTATCTCGGGTGGTAACTGTTCTGTTTCATAATACGGTGAACTTTTGAAATCAAAACCTTTCAAATGATTCTTGACGGCTTGGACAGACTGCTTATCTTTAAAGCGTACAACGATGGGTCGTATTTTGTCATAAGCAGGTGCACCAACTCTGTGCGCAACATCGATGTCAAATTGCAATTGGGGATCGGAGATATTCAAGATTTTGGCGAAAAAGTCATGTATTTTCTCTACACAGTTCTCAATGTTGACTTCGTTAAAAACTTGTACTTGCAAAAGTGTTAAGGTGCATTGTCTATTACCACGACGGGTTGTGCTGGAAGATTAGGGATTAGCTTTAAATTTGATAAAACCACTTGATGAAAACCTCGCCATTCATTTCTCCGTGGTGATAACCTATTGGCACAGGAGACAAACGGGTCAGCGGCATTGTTTGAATTGTTATATTGAATTGTAACTTATTATATATGCTATAGCATTCTCGTGAATAAAAACTTGGAAATATCTATACAAGTATCTAAAAAAGAAAGTAAAAAATAAATAATAAAATGCAAAATGTGTTATTCCCGTCTGGGTCTTGAACTTACGACCTTCCGCATGCAGAACAAACACCATAACCACTACACTATCAAGCCAGATGAAATTCAATTACCTGTTTTGCTAGTAATACGGTTTCGTATATGTTTTTTCCTGCCACCCCTATGTACTATTAATTTAAGATTTCCCATTCTCGATCATATTTGAATCGACAGTACTCGAAATCCTTGTATTTATCATTACACACCTACTCTATTGTTTGTGACAGGTCTATATTTTTCGGATAGACCTGCTTAAACAAAAGAAAGTCCGTTATGAGGTCTATCTTTTGCACGTGCACAGGTCTGTTCTAGTCAGACAGACCCGGTCATGAAATACACGTGAAAAAAATGACATGCCAAAGCGCAGACAAAGAAATGCAATTAAAAATTGAGAGAAAATGTAAATGATTTTCATAATGTTCCTGTCTAACAAAATCCGGATACATATTTTAAACAAGATAATGTTTATTGAATGCACTAAGCAATTATTCCAGCATCCCTATATCAAATCTTTGAATAAAAATAATGGATATCATATCATATCAAAGTTAGGACACATTTAACATTTATTTAATCGCGTCATTTTTCAAAGTAATAGTAATCTAAGTGGTTCTTCTATCATTAAGTTCACAAATATAACAAAATGGACGTTTCAAGTTCATATCTATGAAACTATATAGCAGTAATCACAGCATAATTATTACGATTTTAAAATGTTAATTAATTTATAAGTGATTTAGTATAAAAATTTATGATGAACGATCATATTTTATTCTAGAACACTTTATAATCTGCTATATAAAATATAGTTTCGGTTCATGTATATTACACTTGCCAACAATATACATATGTAAGTCTTTCGTGGTCTGTTGGGTATCTGGACATTGCCCTTCGGACAATTGCCCCCTCGGAAGTTTGCCTCCCTTTTTCCAGTGGCGGTTATTTGCCCCTCATATCTTTGGAAGGGACGGACATTTGCCCCCTTCCCTGTTTTAAAAATGTTAAAATATTTTATTGTTGAATTGATAGCTACCAAAATTCATCGCCTATCGTCGAAATTTCATTGTGCTTAAATACACAAAATTTTGTGCAAATTTGTGAAAGTCAAAATAGCACCCATAAATAAATGAACTATTCAGTTTCCATTGACATACACAAATCTATACACGAGATGACAAGTGACAAGTCACAACAGCAAAAAAAGAAGGCAAACGCCCGAGGGGGGTGGGGGTGGCAACTGTCCAGGGACAAATGTCCTAGAATCTGCATTGTGTGATACGAATTTCTATCAAAATAATTATTCATACTTCAACATATTTTCGAATAAAGACCTATTCACTTTATTATTGACGAATTGTACATTTAGCTTTTTTGATTATTATTGTAAAGGGAAAAGCAAAGTTAAATGCAAAATATATATAGTATTTAAACAGAACGTTGATAAAAGCTTACCTGTAAATGCGTTGTGTTTAAAATAATATTTGTGCATTACATCAAATGTTCCGAATCAGCCATTGCTCAAGCCAATAGAGTTTTACGGTGTGTAAGTTGGATATCGGCCTCGTACATCGATCTTTCTGTTTAGGAAAGACCTAGTCACGAATTTCATGAAACACCTCGAGCGCTACGCGCTCTCGGTGTCACATGAAATTCGTGACCAGGTCTTTCCTAAACAGAAAGACCTCGTACTCGGTCGATATCCTATACTTACCTACCGGCTCCTTTGTTAAAAGCGGTCTAGTAAATCACTTACCGACCGGTTAACAGGTCTGCAAATAGATACCGACCGGTTATTGTTCTATTGTTCTCTATTCAATAGAAAATATGTGAAGTCGAGAAACTCGTGCATTACAGTACACAATATTCACCGTAAAATAACGCTGAATTGAGGGGGGGGGGGGATAATTACCACTTTGAATAGGAAAAAGGGTCGATATATTTTAAAAATTAATCGAAAAAAATTAGCGCATACGGCTGTAAGGAGCCTCATATCTTATATTCCAGATTATTTGTGAGAAAAACGAACTGGCTACTGTTCTGGCGTTGAAGTTTTGTGTTTCGCCGATATTAATGAGTATAACAACGCACATTAAGTCTTTCTTTAAAGTTTGCTTTTCGGTATACCTAACACATTTCCGAACTATATAGCTTCATAAGATACTAGTTTTCGGCATTTATTTCCACAACTATGTCTGAATTTGCACAATCCTGCATAATTTAAAAATTCTGCATTATAGGATATATACGACGATTATATTATTGGTGCATATCGAATCAAAGTCAACTTCTGCATCTTTCCTTTTTCCAAAATATTACTTTCAGTGAGAGTATAGTTCATCTTAAGTATAAGACCTTTTTTCTCATTTTTTCCCAGTTATTTTTACATTACAATTTGGATTTTGTATACCAGTACCAAGAATACGACTTGCGCTTCCATTCTAGACCGCGTGCTTACATGCGGTCTTATAACGGATGATGCTAATTAATATTACACGGAAAGAAAATTCTTCCAAACATGGATGAAATTCTAAGAACATTTAAAAACAGCCATCATAAAAAACAACAACAACAAAACCCAACTTACATAACGGTGTAACTACATGTATTGCCGGCTCGCCACGGCGAGCCGGTATTACGGTAGGATTTTACTGAGAAACAACCTAAAACTCCGAAGCTATCCAAAAATTTAATCGAAGCTTGGCTTCCAGCTTTCTACAAAATTTATCTATCAGGGCTAGGATCCAAAATTATTTAGCCAATCAAATTTAATCTTACATAGCGTCAAAAAACCTTCAATTTTCACGCCATTTTTAAAAATCAGCAAGTATTGTTTTGAGCGCAAAGATATAATGATGATTAAAATGTTTGTCTTTATGAATTCTTTTCAATAAATCATATTTACACTGACTTCTGATTTAGCGATTTCACCTGTTTTCTCTGTAGTAAGTTTTCGTTTGGTTAATTAATATAAGTGTACATCTGGTTCTGTGCATTTTTTATTTTTCCTTTTTTCCGGTCATTTTATCCTTTCCGGTATTTAGTGTATGTATTTACTGGCCGGGATCCGGAACGCCCGGGATCCGGGATCGTATAAGATATGGAGGAAAAACCTAATGAACTATATTTGTGTTGATTGTTGTCGTAATGAAAGGCCATAAAACGTTTTTTTTTTTTTTATTGTATATATTAGAATATAGATATATTTAGAGCTATTTATTAACAAACTTAAAATGCGGAAATCACAATACTTATAATTATATGCCTAATTAATTGGAAAAATCAAAGACAATTTTCTTGAATTGGTCAAATCCCGGGATCCCTGTATGTTTTAAAACGATCCCAGCTTTTTTGAAAACTATATACTTGAACTGGCCAATCCGTGAGATCTATTTACATTTTAATACGATCCCGGCTTTTCTGAAAACTATATTCTCTAACTGGTCAATTTCTGGGATCCCTATATTTTTTAATAGGATCCCGGCTTTTCTGGCTGAATTGATTGACAACTTGTGTTTACTTTAGGACTTGTGCCTCTCATTCCAATACTAAATAACATACATGTATTACAACTTAATTTTGTATAAAGAGACATCTTTATGAAATCTACCTATCTAACATTTTGTGGTCAAGGTCAACAGGCCATATAGTAAATGTGCATAGACATAGGTTCTTCATTCAATCTGTTTACATGCACCTTCATATATACTCATACTCATCTTGGTTAAACTGAGAGAACTTTATATGTCACTTTCAGTCAATGAGTTTAAGATTTTGAATTTACTGGCCCGAATTCCAGTTTTGAATTTATTCTACTAAATAATTAACAAAATTTTCTTAAACTTACACTGGCCTGAACTTATATACACTGGCCATCGGGCACCGGGCCAGTGTTGACTTCACTTTTATTTTGATGTTCGCTGAAGTCTCTTCAGCTAACAGAACTGTCATTTTTACATTTAAACACACCCCTTGAAAAAAATTACGAAGCGAGTCGCTACTAGCTTTTTTAAAAGCTAACCTTGTACTGATATTAAGTCATAGAACCACGTCTTTTACTTTCCTTTGAAAAAAATCGTATATTTTAATTATATCAGAAATAGCCTGATCATCTATTTACCATGCAATTTATTATATATAAAGATAAAGTGTTTTTATGATTCGAAAACATTTTTATCTTCCTCAGTATTTGTTTATATTATTAATATGTTATGTATTCATATATCAAAATTATGATCTTACCTTTCCCTATTAGACAAGTTCTGTTTTCATTTTCTGTGACTCGACTCAACAAGTACATTACCTGACCTTATTACATAATGAAACCCCACGAAAATCACGAAAATATTCAAATAGCACCTGATTTGTGAACGAATGAATTACAAGAGCGTAGCGGATGGTATCTTTGCTTGGCTTTGGAATGCTTTCTTAAACATGATAAAGTACATAAGTAATATGTTTCTTGTGAGTAATATTAATAAATACTGAGCTAAAAACTGATGTATGGATAGAAAAACAAAAGAACATGTAGGTAAGATAGTTACGGCACTCGGAATAGGTCTGCATAGTATTTACAGACCCGCTGGCCTTTTAAAAACCTCGATCGCTACGCTCTCTCGGTCTTCAAATCGCCACCCGGGTCTGTAAATACTATGCATACCTATTCCTCGTACGGTAACTATTACTTACGACAACGTATGGTATCTGCAAACTTAAATAGTACGAAGTTTAACATACATGTAGCTTATTGCAAACAAATGTCGCTATTACGATATCAAGGATTGTAAACCGTTTATAGCTGAAACAGGATGTAAATCAGTTATGTTTACATTTAACGCTTTTAAAATCTATTGTAACGTTGTTTTATTTTATTTTTATTTTTGTCATTGGAAACTAAAATGCAAGTAAAACATTAAAAACACATTAAAACAGTGATGAATATATAAAACATTTCAAAACAATATTATGATATTTGATAAGTTTGTTTAACCTTATTTGGAAAACGAAACAAAAAATCCCGGAAGTTATTTAACGTGTCTTTAATTGAAAGCGTTCTACGAAGTTACGAAAAAGGTTGTAATGAAAGATGCAGTCTTTAACAAGCGATCATGTAATGGTAATCGCGATTGATTTTGGGACAACTTACTCCGGATATGCATTTTCCCTGGGTGTCGAGTTCGAATCTGAACCAACGAAGATTTCCTCTAACAAACCATGGATTGCATCACAAGGTCTTGGTACGTACTAGCTAATACTATAACAGTACATGTAGTTTATAATAGCTTTGATCTTATTAATTCATATTTAAACGCTATCTGATGCGATAAATTTGTGTCATATTTTGACATTTTGATCTTTTTTCTGTATTTATAATAGTATCGTAACAAAAAGTTGTTTTGTTGTTAAAAATAACATCTCTTAAGGTCTCTCTCATTGACATATTGTCATAGAAAGTCAGAGAACACGGACAGTTGACCTAATTTATTTGGATCATATTTAAGACCTCCCACCGATAATATTAACATTTTCACTTTCGTTTTCGAGCTGTTTCTTCCTGCTGTTAATTTGAGCTTGATGTTGGCGATCGAACCCTAAAACTTAAAATTATCAAAATAGTTACGACATCTGAAGTGATATTTGTTGTTAATATCATATAAATAATAAGAAATGCCTTTAAAATTGTATCTCGGGTCTTTTACATGTTTCTTTTAAGGGTTATGTCGTAAATGTAATCAGAAAATCAATGAACTTCATTACCTTATATTTGTAACCTCTTAAGACATAAAATGCATTATGATCTTGAGTCCAAGCCGGTTTTTTGAGAAACCATTCTGAAAACAATTAATAAATATCACTCTCTTGCATAAAGTTCATATCAGTCTCTTTGACGTTTCGAGGGATTAAAAGCCCCTTTTTAATTTAGTATAAACTGCTATTTCTTATACGGGTACCAGTTTCCTACAATCTTAATTATTTCAAAAGTTCTTTCGAAGTGGATTTTCTGTTTTTGTATCATTAAAATTACAAGACCTTCCCAGCTGTTGTTTTAAAATGTTTTATAAAGTTGAAGTTTTAAGCCAATGGGCTGTACATTTGAAACACATTTCTAATAGATCATTTAAACTCTTTACAATGTGTGCATTGCACTGAACATGGACTGCATTAAAAACTTTAGTCAAATCGTTCTTTAAAGTCTAAACTTTAATTTATTAGAAATTATGACCGGCAATGTCCTGTCGTTGGGGCACCAGACCGGGAAATTTCACGCTGCCGGACCGCTAGGTCGGCAACTTTACGCTGCTATAGGCCGTTAGATAGGCCATTTTATGCTGCTAGGCTGTTAGGTTGACAACATCACAGTGTTTGGTTGCTAATTTAGCAGACCTTTTTAGTAAAAATCCGCTTCTGTTGTGCTTCTAATCACTGAATAAATTAAGATTTACACAATTGATTGAGTGTATTGAAAAGAATTCGTGGTTTGCTGCTTATAACAACTAAGTCGGTTTAAAATAATCTGGCATACATCCTGGCATACATCCAATGAAATATTTGGCACGCACAGTATTTTAACTAATTCTCAAACAAATTTGGTTACGGGTATACATCTTGTACAAAGATATCACGATATTACTTAATGTTAATCAAAATTAATTATATTCAAAAATTAGTTCGAAAAACGATCGAAGTTAAGAAACAGATTTACTCAGAAAATTAACTGAATTCGAACTTTATCTGAAAAACATATATTTTTTTGTTTGTGAAACTTACTATATCACTTAAAGATCACTTACTTATACACTATTTCAGTTTCGCACAAAACACCAACTTGTGTGTTGCTTAAGCCTGATGCAAGTTTCTACAAGTTCGGATATGAAGCGGAGGATAGATATAACGAGATTGCAGAATCCGACGATTTGAATCATAAAGATTACTATTTCTTTAGACGCTTCAAAATGGTCCTACATTCAAGACCGGTGAGATTTTAGCCATGTTAACAAATGAATGAAATATATCCTTTCATCGTAATGTTATGTACTTTTAGATGTTCTTATTTCAATATAATGTTGTTCTTATGAGTTATAAAACAACACACGACGCCTGGTTTTAAATGATTAACTGTTTTTTAAAGATTTATCTCATCTAAAACGTAACGTAAGTAAAGTAAGTTTCGGATTATTTCAATATTATGAATTACAGTTCTGAACTTCTGATCATGTAAGAGGTAATTATCCAATCATTTTCTCAATAACCCCCTATTTTTTTCTTTTTATTTAAGTAAAAAACGTATTTTATATTTCCTGATGTTTATTTCACTAAAATCGAAATTAATTGAGAGCAGAATTCTGTGCTTTTAAATAAATCAAAGCTTCTTTAACATGTAGGCACTTTAATATACTAGAGGTTGCTTTTCTTATATGTACTACCTGTAAATACTTTATTAACATGTGCATCATTTTAAGTATGTCATTCGGTGACTTCAATTTTATTTTGAGAATATCTATTTTCCTTTTCGCACCGACTATTTGATATCTAAAACCAGGTTTTAATTTTAAGCATATAACAAACAGCGACGGCCGTGACGAGTAAAATTTTCAAAACTTTCCGCATTAAATTCTTCTGGTCATGAAGATTTAAAAAAATGTCCTGTTTTGTCATTACATTCTTCCCCATCGTCATTATTTGAATATGTACGTCCAGCAGCGTACTCAGATATGATATGTGTAGGAAGATATGTGTAGCAATACAAATCCCCGGTAGTCATGTGTAGATTATACATGGTGAGAGTTTATTACCGATATGATAAAATGTGTGTAACATCTTTTATTTCACACCTTATAAAATATAACCAATGACCTTTTAGCGAATTATTAACACATGATGTTCCAATAGAAACCATTACTGGATCCAATCTTAACAATTAAGCCATCTATTTCCAAAGTCTAAAAAGATCAATATCAAATGCATATCGTACCTCATAAAGCCGTTCTTTCAAAAGTTCGAAATGTATGTTTCAAATGCATATCTACCCTTGTTTTCATTTTCAGAGTCCAAAATTCCTATCAAATCCTTATTGTACAATTAAAAAAAGTTCTGTCCAAATGTAACACATACGTGTGAAATAAAGAGAACATTGTACATTGTACATTGTTGAAAACAAAACTGATATTCTATTCGACTCCTTCACAGCGAGTGCCTTGTCCAGTATCTGTTTGACAGCTTTGTACATGTCCAATATAATTCATTATTAAATTCAACATGGTATACTCATTATAACCTCATATTACATTGCATTGTACTTAATGTTTGTTTATAATAATTCTATCATAGCCTGTGTTGAGTCTATCGTTTTTTAGTATTGAATGACAATATGACGCGAGATACATTGTACTGCATTTATTGTTTCACGTGACCCAAATACTTTACAAACAAGCATGTACTGAGTAGCATGTTGCAGCTGTTGAAAATGTCCCGTCATTTATTTCAGTTTTCTTGTATCTTTCAGGTCCCTTTCAGACCAACAGGTCCACTACTTGTTGTTGCGAGGATGTAATATTTGCAATGTTCATCTATTGTTTTCATTACTTTTGAAGGCTTTTTATCTAAAGGTACATCTTATTTTCAGAACCTTCGTAGGGAAACTGTGATCGAAGATGAAACAGGGAAGACCATGGAGGCGATGATAGTGTTCGAACACGGTATACGTTACCTGAAAAACCACGCTTTAAGCACAATAAACACGCAAGGAAAATGTATTGATGAGATGGACATACATTGGGTGTTGACTGTGCCAGCAATATGGTCAGAGGGAGCCAAACAGTTCATGAGAGAAGCGGCACAAAAGGTAGAATTATGTGTTTCTTATTAAACTATTACTTTTGGTTTTTTAACAACTGTCTTTTTCATTTAAAACAAACACATTTAAAACATTAACTGATATTCCGATGACTTGTTAGAAAAATATGCAAGGACTTGTTAGATACTTTCTTATATCATCAACCAAAGTTTAAATTAGCGACTTTATGTATCAATGTTTTAGTTTGTCGATCTTGGGGTTTGCAAGTGAGGTCCCTGCCCATCCTTATTCTTTACCAGAATACTCGCTGTCGATGTTTTCATTTATAAATGAAGATATGCGATGAAAGTGATGGTATAATTAACCCTTGAAGAAATGTATTTGTTATGTTTAGAATTTGAAGCAATGAATTCAAGGTTGAAATGATTTCAGAAACGTTGAGATATTAGCATAATAGAGCCTGTTCAGATTTCTCGGAAGTAGTAACTAGCCTGGTTCTACTCCTAAACAAAAGTTTATCCCTTCCGGTTCCAGCAGGTAAAAAGTAAAAATTTACAATCTTTGGACACATGATCAGCTAAATAAACCTATGCTTGTAAATGAGAAATCAAAAATTTGAAATTGACTTGACATTCGGTATTTTGTAGGCTGGTATTGAATCGAACAATTTGAGTATCGCATTAGAACCAGAAGCAGCGTCAGTTTATTGCAAGTATCTGCCATCACATCAGCTGACCCAGGAACAGATGTCAAAGTCAATGTTCCAACCCAACGCCAAATACATGGTGGTCGACTTAGGAGGTAAGCTACCAATATATACAATTTATTACATGTTTTACCAGTACTGACTTAAAATGTAATATAAACACAACGGTGTATTAAATTCGGCTTCATGAAAATAATGAAACTGAAGATACGATGAAAATGATGAGTAATCGCTTGAACAATCAGTCTATTTTTCCCCACATTTGTCAACCTTTACAACAACCATAATGCTTTCGCATGCAGATTTAATTGTCTATACAGTTTCAGGAAGTTTAAATACAAGTGTAAAATAAATAACTTAAAAGTTTATATTTTTGTACAATTGTTGTTTGAGAGCATGCTTTTGATTTTGTATTTATTTAAACGTCAATGTTGATCGATACTCTAAACACATGTTTAGATCACTGACCTGCTGACTTTGTGAAATGAATTTCCCCGGCTTTGAATTTTTAACAATCAATTTAAGATATTTCAGTATCGAGGTAAAAGTAAGAAACGGAGGTAGAATGGTATAAACCTGGTTAGACTTCTAGGAGGCACACACTCTTGTCTGACCCTATTTTATTGGAGACAAAAGCTATAGAACGTTAAGGGTTAACATTTGTGAAATAATTCCCCTATGTGAACAAAAATGAAAAAGTAATAAGTACACCCTGAAATACTTTATATAGATAATAAATCTGATATATTATCTGAATAAACTCTTTTTTTACCAGTGGCAGTGACCAGTGTGTCTCTTAATTGTAACCACTGCCACAAATGATAATAAACAGAAACTCTAAATTGGTGTTTAATCAGGTGGTACTGCAGATATCACAGTACACAAAGTGGAATCAGACAATTCTCTGTGTGAGGTCCATGGTCCGAGCGGTGGTGCCTGGGGCGGCACCAAGGTTTGTTTTCTAAACGCTGTTTTTTCTGTAATGTATGTTATCTAGAAAGAACCCACAAAGCAAAAGATTGTTACTTGAATTTGACTCATTTTGTTTTCGTATTGAAAAGTTAAAGGACATTTTTTGTTTGTAATGACTACATAAAATCATACAACCAGACAAGGTACACTGTGTATTTTTACCTTTTTCACATTATAGTTTGATTCAGAAGTAAATAATCATCATATATATTTAAGACAATGCATTACTTTTATTCATTTCCATGGATTATTATTTCTTTATTCCATATTTGATATAACAAAGTAATTAAGAGAGATAGGACAACGTTCTATCCTATAAACTAACTTTGTTTTAGGTTGATGAGGCTTTTATAAAGTTCCTTGAAGAGATTTTTGGGGAGGACATTATGAAAGTATTTCTTGACAAACACATGGAAGACGCCATAGATTTATACAGAGAGTTTGAGATCAGAAAACGTAAAGTCATGCTTGATATGTCAGACACACCAAATATGGCTATCAAGATTCCAGTCGCCTTGTATGAATTATATGAAGACAAACACAAGAGTAAGGTGAAAGATGATATTAAAAGGCATGCAAAATATAAAGACCGAGTTACCTGCCTTGCTGACAAGATGAAAATTGACTCGAATATCATGAAATCTTTCTTCAAGAGACCATTGTATGATCTTGTCGAGCATATGCGAGATATACTTGGAGAGCTTCCGGTGCGTGGTACAAATACCTTCATCATTGTTGGTGGCTTTGCCGAGTCTGGTATAGTCCAAGATACAATAAAATCAAAGTTTTCAAACATGAGAGTGATTATTCCATTTGATGCTGGACTTGCAGTTCTGAAAGGAGCGGTAATTTTTGGCCATGCTCCAATGGTTGTGACGTCACGAGTATGCAGACGAACATATGGCATGGCAGTAACCAAAGCGTTTATCAAAGGTCAATATCCAGAGGACAGAAAAGAATTCATGGGTAACAGAGAGGTTGTAAGAAATGTTTTCCATAGATATATGCAGCTTGGTCAGCCAACCAAGGTGGGAGAAGCTGTCTCAACAGTTCCAATGAGTGCAGCAAAGGGTCAATCGCTCGCTCGTGTACGAGTGTTTTCATCCAAATGTTCATGTCCCGAGTTTGTGACAGACCGTGGCTGTAGTTATCTAGGGGAGATAATTGTGAACATACCTGATTCGGAACAGGAGGAAGGTGGTACTGTAGACGTTAAAATGACATTTGGTGGCACTGAACTTGCGGTTGAAGCTCTTGAAAAGAAGTCTGGTAAATCGTATCGATCAAGATTTGATTTTTTGAGTGGAGAGTAGAATTATAGGTGAGGAGCAAAGGCTGTTTATATCAAAACTATCAGCTTATATATGAGAAACAGACAATTTGTTTATAATAAAACATATAGTGAGTCTAAATCCGGAAGAGTTTAACGGTGGAAGGAACTACTGATATGATAAGTGTAGTATATTGACTAATTAACTGTTAGACTGGCTTTAATTACACTACGCACATAATGTATAAAATTTGATGATATTTTTAAGTTTGATTGCTTTTGAACAAACAATATTTAAATAAAATGTTTGTTGTATCATACAGCAGTTTGCCACACATTGCATTCCGGTTTTGGGCTTTCAGTTATAAATCGAACATTTAAGACGAATGCGTAATATGAAAAATACAAAAAAAACAACAACAACAGAATATATGAAAGCGATGCAAATATGCAAAAAGAATACGTATAAACTCAACGTGCTACAGAGAAGTATTGAATACACAAAGGGTAACAACTCTAACTTTGGGAGTTTATATTAATTACAATAAGAGTAGTTGTCCATGCAAGACGTAAACTTTCAGTGTTGACAAATGACATGACATTGTTACATTTTGTCATGCTTTTTCACCAAAATATTACAATGCCTTTTTCTGCTGTAGTTTTGTTTTGTATATAATGCCAAAATTCAATGTATGTAATACGTAAATACATTGCTAGTGTCTCTTTCTTTTAAGTTGTTGTGTTTTTATTTCTTTTTTAACATGCACAACTTATCTTGAGGTATATCTATCTTTTTTTGCATAAAGGCATTTGTTATGCTGTTCTATAGCTAATTCTTATATCTTAGCTTTATGATATTTTATGTAGATTATTAAATCTGTTCATTTAACAAATCTATCACATGCCAGTGTCGCTTCTGTGAATCCGTAAAAATGGTATTGATACGGCCGTGCATATATTTTGACTTGACGTCATTTGCGTTATGCAAAAATAGCGTAAAGACGCGCTAAATGTTATCGTTACAGTATACTATAAAAATGATTTCTTTTCAATTTAAACAATCTTTCTTTATGGTATGTAAATATTATGTCGTGTAGGCTCATTACTGAATTTATTGAACTTGCGGAATAAAGTAATAAAATGCTCTCCATATTTTTATTCAACTCGTTCAGAGGCGAGCATAATACTATTTAAAAATTCAACGAGTTCAATAGATTCAGTATTGAACTTGCTTCACTAATTCAATATCCGCTATATCTTGCTGTAACTTAAAGCGATTTGCTTTTGATATCAGTGTAGAGCCAGGTTAGCCTGCGCACTTGTGTAGTCTGACCAAACTCTATACTGTTGTTATGGTGCAAATCTATTGCACGAATACAGTATATAAAAATTCTACTTTCTTTAAAAACCCTGCTAAATTTTGTTATAACTATTGAGAATATGTATAAAAACAATGGAAGAAATAAACCGTATAACTACAAATAAGAGTTGTTTCTTAATATATTAGAAAAAATGAGGCCGTTTGCAATACCATTGATATTTGACTCTATATAAGCACATAATTCCCGTTGTCTGCATCCTAGCCACTTATATTTTTATCATACCAAGATGAAGAATTGAGATTTTCCTCAGCGTGTAAAGTTTTAAATCAGTCATATTAGTTCAGCAGTGAAATTCAAAAACGTTTTTGATGCACTGCATGGTGCGTGTTACCATGGTTATTCAATATCACAGCAAACACTTGTTTGGCACTACAATTTAATAAACGTATGCTCAAATTGTAGAAAATATTATGACGATTGCCGTACATTTGAAAATGTTCAAAAATTGATAGAATATGAAGACGCAGGTCTCTTAGTCCTATTTCTTTTTTAACACCCCTCGTTATATGTCCATATGTTTTGTCATAGTATATACTAAAACAATATGCGATGATAGTCCATAATTGTTATACACTCTGTGCTCCATGTTTGTTATATGCGTGGGGTAGAAAACCAATACAAATAACAGTCCAGGTAGTATTTTCTCCTTTTTCAATACTTTAAATAGGATTAAGTGTGGTGCTCGCTTATTTTAGCAAGTTACCCATACACAGAATGTATCTTTGGTACAAGTCAGTATTTATTTTTTTCGTAAAATGAAACCGGGTGAATTTCGGTTGTTCAAACATGCGTCGTCTTTAATTTACGTAAAACATACTTTTGATGATTTTTTTACATTTTATATGTATTTGTTACTTACTTGAATGAGGGCCCGGCACTTTGTCACATAATAAAATATTGCTTTTTTTTTGTTATGGAAGACCTTATTTTAAATAGGTATTAAGTCCCGCGCAGATCACAAAAACGCACGTGGTACTGCAGTATTTGCTCATCGTTAAACATGCAAATTTCACTTTAAAGGAAACATGTGTATAATTATCTAGGTTCATATAATACAAAATGTATATAAAATATGCATTTAACTAAATTTATGAAACACTGATTACAGAGAGGTTTTTTGTTTCAAATAAAATATACAAGATCCTGTTCAATCCGTAAGTACTCTATATTCAAGTTATGTAATTTATGTAAATGAAACGGTTATCAATAAAATAGAGTTTATACAAACAAGAAAATCTTCGTACTTCAGTTGCATTTATTATAAAGAATTTTGACAATATACATAAGAATATCATCTAATACATAAACGTCAATAATAAACATGTGGCATATCTACAACATATTACAAAAGTTTAATCAAATGCACTAAACTTATATTTACATATAATGCATACATGTATAGCAAAGGCAGAAAGGTAATAGTACTACAGCATCAGGTATACTAGTATTTATTTATAAATGAATTTCGAATAACAAATGCCTCTTTCATATACTGGCACAATTTAACAATATCGTTTTTATTTGAAGAAGAAAGCAAATCATGAAATTTAAAAACAGATGGGTTGACAAAATAAAAAACGTTTGATATATTTCAAAATACATGTAGCAATGACATATACAAAAAAAGTGGAATTCGTCTTCAATATCTCTTGTGTTACAACATGAACAATATCTGTCGTTTCTTAGTAAATTATTACGCGTATACCTCCCTGTTTGTATTCTCAAAAAATGCAATGAAATTCTAATTTTAACCAAAAACGTTCGTAATTTCTTTGGTAATAAATCTAAGTATATTTCATATTCAAGTGTACATGCATTTAAATATTCTATACATATTCAAGGCAGAGTATGTGTTAATATTTCCATACCATTCTTGCTTAAAAATATCTATCAATCTACATTTAAATTCACGAATAAATGATTTAACGTTTACAGAACTAGGGTTTTCAAATACATTTGAGAATTCGTAATTATCTAATATCCTGTTAACATGAGAAACCCAATTTGTATAACCGTTATTACAGTCGTTAGCGCTCATTTTATAAACAGATCTTATAATTATGTTATCACTCGAGCTAATTTTTAAAATAGTAATTTAATAGAAACAAATAAATATTGCACTATTTATACGGCCATATAACCAGTCAATAATTTTATAACGTATTTATCATACAGCAAATTTTCTTCACGAGAATGAAATTTGATAGATCCCTACTCTGACCTTTATTTGAATAACAAATACATTGATGTATGCTCTTTTGTAAACAAATAGGTTGTGGTGAAATTATTATTGCAATGCACTTATTAGATAATTTGAATAAGACAAGTTAGGGTCATGAAAGGATCTCAGCAGCCGTGTTTATAATTTATATCCAATAACAAACGACCTTGCAAACGAACAGTGTTATAATAACTATTGAACCTAAAGATAAATAACATTAAAATTTTAAAATGTAAAAAACATGAAGCCGGATCTTCATCAAATTTTCTTCTTTTTTCAGTATGTGCGAATGTAGTAATTATGTCAATCCGCGTCAAATATTTTGAATAGGCAATTGTTCCGGCGTGAGCTCAGATTTTAATCTTGTAATTAAAGAAGTTTAAATAGGTTTAAATACATTGAAAAACAATGATTGTTCAAATTTTCAACAACGTTTTCGTATTCATTTATTGATGTAAAAAACAACACAGATAACATCTAAAATAACTGTAACTCATACATTCACCATCGATTTTATGGTATTTAAATCTGATTGAATGGTGGTGAATTCTTTACTCTATGACACCGTTGTCGGGTGAACCTTTCTTGTTTATTTCTGTTCGCAAAATAATGTTTATGACATTGGACTACAATAATATGACATTTAATTGATTATTTTGTTGTATTGTTACTTTGATATATTCTGATACATTGCATGAGTTCTAATATATGTATTTCATATGTTTATACTATACATGTACACAATCGCAACTTTTCGGCCCTTTCCGTCAGTCTCTCGAACTGCCGAGGACGTTCCGATTGTACATGTACATTGTTTCATCCCGTTATAATTTTGTGTCAGAATTTTTTTGTTTAATAAACAGGAAAATGGTAACTTAAGTTGTATTTAGAATTTTTGAAAATGAAAGAAGTCAGTTAAGTGAGTTCCACTTATCATGACAAATGCATGCATTGTAGTCTCAGTCATCCATCTTAAATAAGACTTTTCTAAATCATTGAAGTATTGATAAAATTTTCATTTTTGAAAAAACACTTTACTGCCGATATTAAAGATATTATAACAATAATAATAATGATAATTATAACATTTCAGGAGATAAGTATAATGACAAAAATCACATATTCTTCGTAATAGCTTTTAATATTTCTCTGGTGTGAAATAAGTTGGAAAATAAAGCATATTGCCTGTTATAGCTGCAAAACCAGTCTCCAATTACAATTTTTTTAAAATAAAGTTTAGTTCAAGATACGAAATATAAAAAAAAACTGCATAAAAGTTAAGATCTTTACTATAAAACATGAAATAACAACTTACAAAGGCATTTAGCTTCAAATGAATAGAATTGACAAAAAACTGCCGAGCATTTACAAATAGAAACCGATAAAAAGGAAAAGATTTACATTATAAATCATAAAGGTGTAGTGTTTGTCTGTATGAATGACGCAACTATCACTTGAAATATTGAAAGGCGAATTGGCTTAATGTTAAAGCATTTTTGTTGTATTCTGTCTGGGGACAGGTGACATTTTCTGAAAAAGCAAGGTATTTTCAGAAAACACTCTTGCAGGTTATGTCTAATTGATTTTGCTTGTTTTGATTGATCGAGACAGTGAATGCACCTAACACAATGAGCCGTGAAATTCCATGAAATCTACTTTCATAACCACAAACTCCTTACAAATATTAATATTTTGTCATTGTTAATTAATATCGTTAAATAAAAAACAGGGTGGTAGTGTTTATAAAGAAATTCAAAACTTTAAAAGCGTGCTCAGACCTATTTATTTATTTCAACCATTCCGTTGCACATGTAAAGTGAATGCGCTCGGTCTAATGTTAACAGCTTGAGTTTGTAATTTGAGTAAATTTGTTCGATTAAATAGTTTGATGCGCATGTAGCAGTGTTTTACAGATCGTTTTTGTTGAAATATGAAAACTGCGGAGTGGATATTTTGTATTTTCTGTGTAGCGATATTTGGTAAGTATTTTATTTATTGAAATAAAATCAAAAGTAGTCTGTTGCTAACATAGACCTTCTTGAATGATCATTTCTTTTGTTTCGTGTATTGATCATTGATGAGCTACGGGCACACAACAATATAAATTCAACATACAAAGTTAAACGTATGTCAGAATGGCATGCAATATCTCTGTATGAAGATAGATTAAATATATAGTTAAAATGAATTTGTGCTTTATTAATACAATATTTTGAAGGCACTTGAAAAAAAGAACAATATAGCATTAGCTCATCAATAACGATCTTTGCAAAAAAAGTTAAAAAAACAAACAAATTAAAGTTCATTTCTTATGGTATATATGTTTTGTCCGTATATATAAAACAGACATAAGTATTTTTGCTCTCTGTTTTTGCAGTCTTTGTGTGATATTTTTTTATATTTTCACTTCAAATATGTATTAACCTATTACGCGATATACACGCTTTTTAACGCCTTTTTCACCCCCCCCCCCCCCCTTCGTTGTCTCAAAAGGTGAAAAAAAGCCTTATTTAGGCCCCCAACACTTGTTTTTGTTTGAGAAATGTTGTTTAAAAAGTGACCACTTTTTCGGCGCGGCCCCCAACAAAAAGATACATCAGGGGGTTGCCAGAGGAAGGATGTGTCCCTTCTGTTTGGGGGGTTTGAAGGGGGTTTGCAGTCCCCCTCATCGCCAAGAAAATTTTGGACTTGTTAGAGGCTAAAAATTACCCCAGATCGATTATAAGGTAATGTGTAACCAACGCTGAAAAGCATTTGACTCTATCTCAATCCATTGAGAAGTTGCAGCACTTTGAAATCAATTTTGATGGAAAAAATCAACGCAAAATAGTGATTTTTGGCAATTTTGAGATGTCCCCTCGTTGCCATGGTAACAGGAAATTTAAGCCTGAGCATGTTGTTGCAAAGGCAATGGTCCAGTCAACATTTGTGCCAAGTTTGATTAGTATTGAAGCAGTTTTTATAGTTTTATAGCAATTTGAACTTGTAACGGGAGACTTTTCAATGAAAACAGCCATTTTTCACAAAATGCTCATGAAGTAATGGGTTAATATATTAGAAAGATAATGATAAAAAAGTTCTCCCAAATGAATCTATATAATTTCGAAAAATGTTACAGGTCATTGTGACCGCTTTAAATGAATGAAACAGACACCATTACATGACACTGGACGAAAATAATATTAAAACTGTTTTTAAGAAATAGGCGTATCTTCATTCAGGCGTTCTGGTGTTAATAATGAATGAATGAATTGATTTTAACATAAAGGTTTTCAGATAATCGAAAACATTTATTTTCGAAAAAACAAACCAAACTTGAAAATTAAATATGAATGTTTTAATAAAAATATTTTAACGATTGGTTCATTAGTTATTAATCATATTTTACACATTTTAAAAAAAGGGTAATTAAAATCGATCTATTTAGATATTTTACATTTTAGATACTTTATGTTACACTTTTTCGAAAATTTCAAATGAAATAAACTAACCCTATAGGCGTGTTGCAATGCTATGTTCATGTATTGTTACTGAATATTTATTTTACCTGCAATCAAGTTCAGTTTATTAATATTTCATTGAATTCGTATTCATACATTATACATTATGACATTTTCATAGTACCAAGAGGGTTGGATAAAAAATTCTAAGAATAGTATCGTTGGTCCAACCTCTGCAATCAAATCAAGAGCAGTTCCAATAACTTACTTTAGAGCGGATTTATACGATGACATTCATTTGATGTTTGTAAAGCGGTGCTCGGGAGCCTTAAAACCACATTGCTTTCTCACTAGTACACAGAAAATACCACACACTTGTTGTGGACCATTTACAATGAAGACACATATCTGAAATCTAGCAGAAACATGCCCCCCGCCTACCTCCAACTCGAACATATCGCTTCACACATATTCTTGATGAAGCAAATGTTACTAAAATGTTAATTATAACGTAAATCCTCAATAAAAAATTTCACACTTTAAACATAAACAAAAACAAACAACCCCGCCACCCCCCACCAAAAAGTAAATAAAATAAAATAAAATAAATAAATGAATGAATAATAATAAAACAACTGCTCTGAAAGAAATGTTGCATACTCCTAAAATACATCACCAGATGCAAATATATTGTTATCGTATTGTCTTTTATTTTGATAGCGTATGTTAGTAAGGCGGGTGAGTGCTGCGACTCGTACTATGATCTGACATTTGAGTACCACGACCAGAAATGGTGCGACGACTATTGTTGCGGCACCTCTACTCTCGGCGTACTCGATTGCTGTGACAACATTTTCCTCGTAGCCCCTGCAGATGACAGAGTTGGGTTCTGCACCGACTACTTCGTACAGAACATGTGAGTATAAACATACACGTCGGGTTTTCAAACTAGGAGTAAACAGCAAATATAGTAATTTTCAGATTTTGTGTTCTGATATAAAATATTGGCTGACCAAAGAAATGTTGGTTTTAAAGCAGAGTGTTTTTCAAGAGTTGATATAAATATTTAAGTGACATTAAAATGTATCACTGTTATGATCTGATCATTTGTTATTTTTATTTTTACTTTTGTTTTTGAAATTTTATTCCAAAACAACAATAGGTTCAGCTGAACGTAGTACATTTTTACACGCCGTCTTAATGTTCATTTAAAATCTATATTAGTATAATATTTTGGCAATAAGAATAAGATCTACAAATAAAACTAAAACCACAATTATGCTTGTATGCCTTTGTGATAATCATGTCTGTATATTTGGTTAAACTGCATCCTCTGAGGGTCTTCTTAAAATACCATGAGCAAAAGCTAGCATTAAAGATCCTGTATGTTGTAATTAAGGTTGTTACCACTTAACTGAAAAATGTATATATGTATGTATAATTATGTTTCTAAAACTATTTTCAAACATCCAAGAATATGTTAAATATGTACTGCAAATATTTGTCCACTTTATATGTTATCATTAAAATATATGCATTCGTTTGTTATTGAACAATTTTGACTAAGTCTTCATAGAAATTAAATTTCAAATTACCTCCCTTTATTAACATGGTAATATCTTTACAAATAATGCTATTTTGGAACTTATAATATTGATAAATCTTCATTTGAGCATTATATTTATGATATAAAGTCATAAAAGACTTGAGTTACGGGATCTTTTAAGTGTCTTGAATGGTCAAAAAATTAAATCTTTTAAACGACAAAATATAATATGTTTCAGGCCGGGTTTTACTGAGCCTGTTCATTGACAGGAATTGTTAATGCAAGCTACTTTTCATGCTCTCTTCTGGAGAAAATGAAATGGCTAGATTTTAATTGAGCAAACTCAGAAGATGTGTTCATACGGCGGTTATCATAGAGATTTCAATGTGACACGTTTGTGCCACAAAAAGCGGCGTAGTGTCTAAAATTAAAAGAATGTGTTTGCCCTAAATATGAAATCAATAAGCCGGACTGTGTAAAATAGAATATTGAAAAAGGGGGAAATCACAGATATTGAAACCATATAAACATGTATAATAACTTATACAGTTGGAAAAATAAACAATGTTTGAAAATATTAGAGAAATAACAAAAACCTTGATATCTGAAAAGGTTTACAGGTCGTTTTGTTTTAGTGTTTTTTTTTTCATTCTCACTTTCTTTCTTTCTTTCTTTCTTTCTTTCTTTCTTTCTTTCTTTCTTTCTTTCTTTCTTTTCAAAACCGTTCGTGTCAAACTACTTGGCATCCACTTTTACCACATTTATGCCTTATTATAATGTAACATGTACCTTTTTCAGATGGGCTCCAATCCTTATCGCTGTGGGAGGCATTGGCGTTATTTTGACTTGCATATGTTGTTGCTACTGTTGTATGACCATGTGTAGCCAAAAATCTTCAGGAACAGTTGTTGCCCCTGCCCATCAACCTTATCATACAAGTAATTTGTTCTTGGTAATTTTAATCATATGGTAACATCGCAGTGATTGTTTAATCACAACACAAATTTGATAATCTAATATATGAAATCTAGTGCAACTTACGTTCTCTAAGACATCTTTGGTTTGAAGTTTTCTGATTATTTCATATGATTGTAGCGATTACCTTATTAATCCAAAAATATTGACATAGAAGAGAAATAGGCAAATAGGCTATTTTATCTTTAGACAAACCTATGTGAAACAGTTAAACTTAAATCTAAAATAATGATTTTTTGTAAAATAAACGATTTTTTTCTTCTTTTAAAGATGTAATGATGCTTAATCCTACATCAATGCAATCGAATCCACCCGGATATGGTGCGCCATTTTTGTCACAACAACCAGGGAACTCTTCACTTCCGTTACAGAATCCGGGGTATAACCCGTCAGGGGACGTTAATCCCGTCCATCCTCCGCCAGGCGTTTCATATCCCGTACCAAGTGGTCAACAAACAGAAACTAAACATCCTTTTGAAACTTGAAAGAAAACTTAAGTGATTGTGATATTGAATATTGGCGTTTTAAAGATGATTCAGAAATACATGTAGTATATATAGATTTTTCTGTCATTATATAAAAAAAAAATTTTCTTCAAAAATATTTCTTATTCGTGTAAATTCGGCTAACCACTGAAGTAACGGTATCTTGTATATTATTTGAAAACTGTCGGCAAAATAAAATTATGCTGTCCCTGGTGATATAGGTGATTATTTGGACTTAACAAGACGGAAAGTTCCGGAATTTGCCGAAGTTTTCCAAGTCTTTTATGAATGTACAACCCTTAAAGACAAAATGCAAAGTAAGCAAACATGCATGCATTCTAATTTAGCTTTATCAATAGTGGCAGATAGACGTTCTTAAAAGCATCGAAGTAGCTAAGTTTGACACAACATGTTTGAATTCCATAGAAAAGGGACTGGAAATGTACGAGTACGATTTTTGTTGGTGTTGTTGTTGTTGTTGTTTTTTCGTTGTTTAAAGGTGCCATTTTTCTTCTTGATTGATGACATATTGAAGTGGATCATGACCTTGTATATACCTAGCAAACATTTTTATACTTTTAAATACAGACATGTTATGCTCGAATGATCAACGGATAAAAGTCCCGTTTATTTCACCAGGATATCTATTAATTACGAAAGTTGTAACACGACACGAATAAAGAATATAGAAATCAGTATTGAGCAAGTTAAACTCCTTGTATCAAAAAACATTTGAACTATTAAAGTCTTGAGAAAAAAATAAGACAGTTTAAACGAAAATTCCAAGATGTTTAATTACTATCATAATCATTTTTGAACAATTAGATCCTTGACTTTCAAGGTCAATTATTTAATTTCTATGCGGGTTTTATTCATAAAAATAATTGAGGTTCGATATCAGCCGGAAAAATGCCTCACACATAAATACTCTTTAAAGGTAAATAGGGACATTATGATGTCATCAATTAGCAACATGATGTTGTGAAACACACCATTTTAACGACAAAAGTAGAACCAAGAATCTTCTATTTTGTGTTTACTATGTTTAGTAGAACCTGTTTACTATGATAAGTAGAACCTCTTAACACATAACGGCCTTTAAATGAAGAGGTTTATTTAACAGTTGTAACAACATTGTAATTTGCCATTGCAGAAAAAGAAAATAACAAACATAATTGAATGGGATAAGGGCCGTGACTTTATTAAGCATTTGGTGCAAATAAATGTCAATGAAAACAAAATATGAAATAATGTAATGAATAAAATATGAAAGACAGCTCCCAGCGAAAATGCTTGGACAGCTACATAGCAACGCAATGGTGCTGAAACTATGATAATAAGCGCTAAATATGCTAAATTCTGTTACAATACGGTCTGGGAAATGGAGTCGTATGGCATGGAAAATCCAGTAGAAAATAACATATTCAGAGCTAAAGAGAAAACGAGGCGAAGGTGAACACTCAGAGATCTCCGTATATAATGAGATGATGTTGACGGACAGCATTCATTGCACCGAAATGCACATAATAGCGTGTATTGAGGGCAATTATGTATTACATACGTTAATTATTTAAGCACACACCATTACAAATTTCAGAAAAATGATGAAAGTTTTGAAAGTCACCTACTAGGACGCCTATAAGCTCTTTTTTTTTAATGATAATGTTTAATGTTTGTTTATATGAATAGATGGAAAACCGAATATATGGAGAGCGACAATGCAGGGTTGGACGTAGCAACTAAGCTACTATGTTATAAATAACCATCCAAAAAATTGACTGAGCTAAGCGGCAGACAAAGATTCGAACAGGGGGGCTAACATGTCTGTTTCAACATACCCATTTTGTTAGAGGTTTGTAGCAAAGCCAGCTATTTTTTTTGTTTGGAATATGTACGGACCTACACGTACATACTATTTTTGCAGCTATCGACAGACCACTAATAGCCGTTTGGCCGAAAAGCTGAGTTTTAACCCTGTTCATATAAGACACAGTCAATTCAAGGACATGGTGAACGGCCGACCTTTAGGTCTAGGCCCCCTCTAACGGTTAAAGGGCGCCCGCCCAATAACACCAATGATAAGAGATGGCCAACCGAACGCGAGGTTGCAGATACGGAAGGCCAACCTAGAAGAAAAAAATACATTAAAAACACATTTTTTATTCTTCTTATTCTTTTCTTGTTTTTTTTTCTTTTTCTTTTTCTGGGGGATGGTTTTTTTTTGTTTTTTTTGTGATTAATTTTGGAAGCCTCGAGCTGTAAAATCAAAAGAGTGTATAATCATTTATAAAACAAAAGCGGTGCTCACTCAAAAATATAAAATTGCATTAGAGTAAAATATTTGACGAGCGAAATAGGTGACTTTCACAATTAAGTTCAATAAAATGAAAGAGCTAAAGTCACGACGGGCGATTAGAACAGGGGGGGGGGGGTTAACATGTCAATTAACACACACACAAAAAAAAAGGAAAAAATCTTATAACATACAAGTTCATCTCGAAACTGATACAATTGATTTATCTCTAGGTTAAATTTCGACAAAGGACAATTGTGTGCCCAATAAAAAGTCTAACATGCGCAATTAATCAATCTGCAAACTGTGGTCGACTCGCTCAGGAAAACCAAAACCCACTGGGAAAATAGGAAACCTGCATCCGTTTGTCAATGTCATACCACCGGATGTCGGATCGCATCCTTGCAAATTGATACAAATTTTACATTTACGCATGTTTTGAAATTATTTAAATGTTCTATTGGAGTATTTTTTAACTTTACGAATTTGCACAATTATTAGTTACGACTTTTAACACTGTTAAAAATTACAAGTTTTAACACTGTTTATAAGTTAAATGTCTACTGCAGACAGCTTTTGTTCCAGCTATGAACATCATACAGTGATGAAAGTTAACACTATGTCCAAGTTTATTACGGATGGTCTCCTTATTGTGGTACTCTTTAGTTGGGCAAGCAGCATGGCATGGCATGGCATGGTTTAACAGTGGAATGGAGTCCGGCTCACAGCTGAAATATAAAGTCTTGACAGCAGTAAAGCGTACAACAAAATTTGTATATAAATATCAGCAATTAAGGGTAGGGTGGGTGGGGTTTTAATGAACGATGTTACCACGTTGGAATTTAAGCTAGAAGTGATTTACTAAAGCTGTAGGATTCTACACACGGAATTCACGTGACAGAGATAACGGTGTAAACTTCTAAACCTGTTTTATACACGCTTAGACGAGTGTTGATACGGTCATGCATTAATAACCCGCTAAATTAAAACGCTTTATTTAATAAAGAAAATAAACCCACTTAATTTCTATGCGGGTTTTATTCATAAAAATAATTGAGGTTCGATATCAGCCGGAAAAATGCCTCACACATAAATACTCTTTAAAGGTAAATAGGGACATTATGATGTCATCAATTAGCAACATGATGTTGTGAAACACACCATTTTAACGACAAAAGTAGAACCAAGAATCTTCTATTTTGTGTTTACTATGTTTAGTAGAACCTGTTTACTATGATAAGTAGAACCTCTTAACACATAACGGCCTTTAAATGAAGAGGTTTATTTAACAGTTGTAACAACATTGTAATTTGCCATTGCAGAAAAAGAAATAACAAACATAATTGAATGGGATAAGGCCGTGACTTTATTAAGCATTTGGTGCAAATAAATGTCAATGAAAACAAAATATGAAATAATGTAATGAATAAAATATGAAAGACAGCTCCCAGCGAAAATGCTTGGACAGCTACATAGCAACGCAATGGTGCTGAAACTATGATAATAAGCGCTAAATATGCTAAATTCTGTTACAATACGGTCTGGGAAATGGAGTCGTATGGCATGGAAAATCCAGTAGAAAATAACATATTCAGAGCTAAAGAGAAAACGAGGCGAAGGTGAACTCTCAGAGATCTCCGTATATAATGAGATGATGTTGACGGACAGCATTCATTGCACCGAAATGCACATAATAGCGTGTATTGAGGGCCACACAATATTTTATGAAATAAAATTCGCCAAACAGAAAATACCTATTACAATCACGATTTATTTTAAGGTAATATTGACTTTTACTTATATTACGATGGGAAGACATACATATACATGTGTACTTATATTTGTTACATTGAATTTATGCCGATTGTTAAACACCATTATAATATGGGGAGACTTTTGAAAGAGACATACTGGTTACGTAAGACAGAAACATTTTTCCGGAAGGGTTTGAATGCAAAGGTGCTTTACAAATGATAAAATCGTTTTCCAAGTATATATACTTGCAACTTTTTACAAACTCGTCAATATCTTTTTTAGTACATATCGGCATAAAAAGACTGTTCTATTTTAGTAGTCATTAGCTGTATCTAAAATTGTTATTAATTTATTTGAATCTATACAAATACATTATTTATGTCGATGATATAAGTATTTAATTACCTCCCTTTATTCGCGCATATTTTTGATTGTTTTATTTATATTCTACATTATTCATAATGTATTCATATGATTTTTGATTATTTCGTATAACATAAATTGATTTTGAGCATAATACCATGTTTTGAATAAATATTAGATAGATCATTTTCATTTTATTCGATAGCTTTATAAGATATACTGATTGATAACGATGTTTCTAAATTATTATCTCCCTTTTTTACAATTTTCTACATGTGATTAAATTCAAAGCACATTTTTTTCGGATTCTAAACTTTCACATAAGTACTCACTACTTGTTATTTTCATACTTGTTGTAATTATTTACTAGCCTAGTTTCTCTATGAAAATATATGTATCTTTTGATCAAGTTAGTTTATGTAATTCTTTTCGAAAATTATATATGCTATGTAAAAAATACGTTCATACATACATGTGCACATGTTTTATTGTATTACTTATTGTAATATTATAACGTTATTTACGCGCCAAATGTGACGTCTATTAACGTAAACGTTTGTTTTGTACGTTTACGTCATTTTTTTTTTGTATCAACTCAGGAAGCTGAATAAAGCGAAACATGTTTTGATACTTAATTTGTGTTGGTTTTTGATCCAATCATCCTATTGAATTCAAGTCACATTCTGTATCAGTACATTGTGTTATAATATATTGTGATATTTTTTATATTTTACCAAATCGATTTGTAATAAGATATTGTTGTACATTTCCTATAACCTATTAAAATAGTTAGTCTTTTAAAATAAGACTTGACAATGAAAAAGGAATACAGTGTCACTTTAAGCAAGTACACTCAGTACAATGATATCGGCTAGGACTTAAAGCTTACAGCCCTACAGATGAGATAACGATAAAATTTTAGAATGCCAACATATGGAAAAATAACTATGCACACATTTTGAATAAAATGACATATGCCAAACAATATTTTTGTATAACGTGTGATAAAAACACAGCAAAAGCATTATTTAAAAAATATTTTATCCCACAACATTATCGTGGACTGAAAGTACCCGTAATATGTAAATTACGTTCTATGTTCTCTTAGTATTTTTTTTTTTAGAGTATTAGTTTCGAGGAATTAACATGATTTTAGAGACATGCTGCATATTCAAATCAAAGGGGGGATATATGTGCGAGAACAGTTCTATTTATGGAAAAGTTCTGCATTCGATGCTTTATAGTTTATTAACAATTATCGTATCTTATCGTAAGTGAAGTTATATATGTGAAATAAGAGTAGAAAAAAGAAGAACTGATTATCAAATATGCAATTACCTCGACGCCATATGCGTATTGAAATTCTTTGTTAACTGTCAACCAAAAACCATGCCATGCCACTATGCCATATTGTTTACTGATTGAATGACCAATTTCTTCATAAGAAAAGACAACATGTGTTCGTCCTTTGATGACTGATGGGATTAGACTCACGAGCCGATGACCTGCCAATCCTTTTGGTTATGCTACATAGAAAGACAAGGAAAACAGTTAAACACATGATAACATATAAATTATACGCGGTCAGTCGTAGCATAATGTCCAGAAACTACATCAATTCCTTTATTTATAGCTGGCAGGAATGAAAAAGGTGATACATAAAACGAAGAGTATAATCGGAAAAGATTTAATTTTGTGTAAGAAATAAATTATAAGCTAGGTATACACAGAATTTATAGTACTGAGCAGATGTCTACTTTACACGGCCGATCGCACATCAAGTTTATGTTGCGATAAACCCTTATTACCAAATGCAACTTTACAACAAAATATCATTCACATGTGAGTGTAGAAAAAAAACTAATGTTATAAATATTTGGCCTCCCAGCAAGATAATTAGTGAAAAATAGTCTGCTCTACCCAACAATGTCAAATATATACATACTTTATACATTATCAAAGACCACGCCCACAACTAACGGTCTAAGACCGCGTGGTAGTATACTAATTTATTTAAATCGGCATTTAACCAGAGGTTTATACGACCAACATCCGAAAGGTTAAGATTGTCAAAGCTTTAAATATTTAAGCTACCCATTTTATTTACAGGTATAATAACAAGTCTCTAAAAAGAGCTGGCACTTATTCTAAACAAATATAACCAGTCTGTAGAAAATTCAGTTGTCTATGTTCGATAAGGGTTTTTCACGAAAGTTGTATATAACCATTACTGTTCGTTTTATCTTATATTAACCACCTACTGAATAAGTGGATGATAATTGACACCACACAAGAATTGGTATTAGAAATAAAATGTACGCAAAATCATTAAAATTTATATTATGCGGTGAAAAAAACCCCAACTAAATTCATTCAATGAATAACAACAGAATTCTGCTTCAGATAGGGCAGATACTACAGTAATTGAAATTCGTAACATATTGAAATATAAACCAGATATATAGATAAACAGTATGAATCGTCAATGTTGAATCACTATCTGTTTAGGAGAAACCAAGCACGTGTTCGTGCTGATGGCACGTGTTCGTGCTGATGTGTCAAGATAACTAGAAAATTGGGTTTTCAAAAAGTAAAAGAATATTCAAATGTATTAAACAGTCGGAAACTAAATAAATCATGCACTTTTATATTGTATAATACTAAAGCTAACTGATTTATTTAATTAAGGCAAGGTAGAGAACAAAGGTAGCGAACTCACTAACTATGAAATACAATGTACATGAGAGGTAGAACTTAAAATCGTAGAATACAATCTCTAACTGTTAAAAAAAAACAATTATGGCAAATAAAATACTTATCTGAATGTTAGATGACGGTATTCGGCATTTTAAACCATATCAGCTGCTATATAAACATCGGCTGTGGGTTTTAATGAACGATGTTACCACGTTGGAATTTAAGCTAGAAGTGATTTACTAAAGCTGTAGGATTCTACACACGGAATTCACGTGACAGAGATAACGGTGTAAACTTCTAAACCTGTTTTATACACGCTTAGACGAGTGTTGATACGGTCATGCATTAATAACCCGCTAAATTAAAACGCTTTATTTAATAAAGAAAATAAACCCACTTAATTTTGGTTAAATTGTCATAATTTTGTTGTTATTTATGAACGGATTTGATTTATACTTGGTAAAAAGAAGACTTGCATCAAAACAAACATATTGAATAATTTAAATGTTACCTTGAACTTTAATTGACCTTGACCATCAAAGTCAAGTAAATAATGTTTTCTTGTTCTTTTCTGTAACAGGCTATAACTTTGTTATTTATAAATGGATACTTCATATTCAGCCACAACATCCTTTATGTCAGGACCTTAATGTATATATAATCTAAAATTGGCATTGACTCATATATGACATTGACTTTGAAGGTCAAATTATTGAATTTTCACAGATTATCGCTATAAGTGGCTGTAACTTGGTGATTAATCAATGGATTACCATCAAACTTAGACAAAACAACCTGTTGGACAAGACCTTTTTAACGGTTGAACTAACCTCGGCTTTGAGCTTTAACTGACCTTGACCGTCAAGATCAAATTATTACTTATTATTTTAGTTGAATTATCATATTTTTGTTCTTCTTTATTTTGTTTTTTTTTAAAGATTATATGTTTGATTTTAGAAAAAAATTAAAATGTCGAGTGTTGCCACCGCCCGGCGGTGGCTCTTAATATGAAGCTAATTTAGCTCAACTTGACAGCGAAAGAATAGGCATAATGTCGCTTTAAAAGTAATAAATATCATACACAATCAATTTGAAAGGATTCTTATGTTAAATATGTTTTATTTAGCCTGTTTGTTGAATAAAAGTATTTATCCCTGGATTTTGTCACCTTTTTCCTTTTTTTTGAACTTTCCATTATCAACTACAGCTGTGAAATCAGTTGACCTGATTGTGGCACTAGCACAGCAGGAACCCATGACACCTGGATCGGGTGGTGGACACTTTAACAACTATAACTTCTCTACAATTTTCGAACCCCACCCACTTATCGTGCTCGGTTTTATAACCACTTTAACCATCACACAATAACTATTATATGGTATCGTCTGAGGTATTTTCAGCCAATGAAGATTGAAGATCAAAACAAAAAATGTTTAGTGTTGGTGTGACCTGATTGGTATGAATCCAATATTGACTCTATGTTAGAGGCAGAAGAATAGTTTCTATAGTGAAAATCTCGACTTAAAACGATTTTTTATAGATTCCTATGAAAAAATAGCTGCGGATGTGTAAAATTGTAAGCATCACTTTATAACACTGGTATTTTTGTTAAGGAAGATTTAAAAAAAAAACATCTTTTTTGTGTAAATGTATGATAAGTTATAGATCTCTTTGTAAAATCGCTTTTATAGAAATGATCAAATGTATTTAAAATTAACTGCATGATTGTGCAGCTTTAAAACTTTTACTTAATATTCACTAGGGGCGTCCGTGCCCGAGTGGTTAATGTCGTTGGCTTCAAATCACTTGCACCTCACCAGTTCGAAACCCGCCCAAAACTATGGATTATAGCTACCTTACGGAAAGTCAGTGGTTCTACCCAGGTGCTCGTTCGTGTCTGAACTAATGTACAGAGGGGGGCACCTGAGATCCTTTACCAGTTAAGCGGAAAACAAGGCATATGACCTCTTCTTGGTTGGTGCGACGCAAAACCTTACTAAAAACAGCCTTTAAACCAACCATGATTGGAAAAGAAATGATAGTGCTCAACAAAAATAAACACTCGGCAATATTACTCATTCTTTATTACAAATAGTGTTATATTATAACAAGCAAGTTATATGAATAAAAACATAAATGCAAATTGATATATTTACATAATGACGTCATTTTATATGGTATTTCAATTCAATTATCGGAATGTATTCGAAGCGAATATCATACGTTTAGCACAATAATAGTACATGTATAAATATATTTATTTTGATTCGGCGATATAGGAATAGGATATGTTAAAATAAAAGATAATTTTCAAATCATATAATAAAAAAAATTATAAAAGAAAAATATTCAAATATTTTAATAATACATATTATATACAGAGGCTAAAAACCACATTATTTGCAATGCTTATCTTCTTTCAAAACTAAAATGGGTGCAGCCATTATTGTTCGGAAACATTCGTTAACATTCGGCGAGTTTCGTCACTATCTCATGATCACAATGTCATATCGATGCTTATTTAATATGTGGTAAGTTTCCAAATATAATATTTTTTTTTATAAACCTGATTATTAATGGACTTTCCCTGTTTTGACTCTGGAACAGTCCATTCAAATACTAAAACAAAACCTGAGCTGCCAACAGTATCGAGCCTTTTCAGACTAAATGCAGGCTGGCCTAGCTCTAAGGTTCGTCGCTTTTGGTTGCAACAGGCTGACGGTAAATCGGTAAAATCACATTGTTAAAATATTAGTTTACAGACTCCTGAGTAAAATAAGGGAAGATATAAAATAAGAACTAATGTTTTTCTATATCAAGTAGTCAAAACATTTACCCAAACGTCAAAATGTGATAGAAATTGGCCCCTCGGTAACCGGCGCTAAATGAAATGGCACAAGTTTAATGAATCAAATGTCGGGCTGTGATATATAACTCATTAGCAATAGCAAGAATGCAGCGTAGATATACATTAACTACTCACTGGATTGAAGGCATATTATGAATAAATAATTAGCCACAATATTCATAAATAATTAGCCGAAGATTGAGTGTATTTTATCTATGGACCCTTCAGCAATCCTTTGATATCATTCAGGAAATTTTAGCCAATGATTACATGTTTTTTTATGAACCACTAGTAAAGCTATGCAAATGCAGGGCTTAAGCATAATCAATCTATTTACAAAATGCATTTTCGTTGTCAAACTGCATTTATTCAAGCGATATTTAAGTGAACTGACATTTTACCAACTATCATATTTACATTATTAAAATGTACCTGTTCATCAAAAACATTATATTATCATAAACATACTTTAACCAAAACGAGGCTGCATAGTTAGAGACATCGGATGATATTGCACAGTAAAAACCATTCTAGAATAAAAGCTTCGATGTATAACATTCCCAGATTGATGTATCTCAACAACTAGCTAAAAGTAATACTTAATTAGTGTATCATTTAAAGATGCTTCTAAAAATAATCGTATATATATTCTATATTGCATACGGCCAGGTGATTGACAGGTCTTAATAAAACAGGAATTTTATAAAGTTATCATCATAATTATCTACATCATTATGTTAATTTACCTGTAACCGGGACACAATTCCATTGACAAACTCTCTTTCATATTGGTAACGTCCATTTAAATGTAAGACAGTTTCTGTTGTACAAATCAATTTTTGTACACACAAATAAACAATTACAATTGCCAACGAATTCCCCTAAGTTGTCATTGTCTTCAAATCTTGATCCGTTATTGAAAAATCTTCGATGTACCCCCTGGACTTAAAAAATGACGTCATTGATATGTAATGACGTCACATTTAATAAGAACCCTTTTCAATAAATCACAATAGAACACTTTCTCATTTTCGATACAGTGGTTGGTTTTTTTTGGTATTTGATGCATATTATATTGTTTTATACTTTTTGTCCCTGCGCCACGCCTTTCATAAGGAGTGGCCCGTCTTCGTGCAAGTACATTGCAGGCCAGACGACATACTCAACATGGGTGCCACTTTTCGTATACGCTCGGTAAACATCGGAGTTAAACGATCTATCATCCGGGACATTCCAGTACAATGTAACAGGTGGATCCTGTACTCGCATTAACCAACAGACTTCAACACATTTCGATATATACTTAGTGCATGCCTCTACAACAGCTTCGCCAAAGAGATCATTTTTGCGAAGTTTAGTCATCACCTCCTGAAAGATTTACCACACATAATATACATGAACTCCTCAAATATTTGTGATGATTTAAGCACTTGAACAATTGTAACAATACTGAATTTTTAAAGAGCAGTACTGTACACATAATAAATTTATTAGATTAAACAATTTCATTTTTATTTGTTAAAGAAATTTTTTTTATAGGCAGAATTTTTAATTGATTTGCTGTAAAGTAAAATTTACAGTAAAACTCTTGAAGAGCAACACCCTTTGGGACGCGTAGATTTTTTGGTTGTCCCTGAGAGGTGTTACTGTAGAGATACTGAATTTTTTGTAATCTCTTAATTAATGAATATTTGACACCGTTCTTGTAAAGAGGGTATTGCAATATATAGAAGGCCGCTATGTAGAGGTTACACTGTACATATTCACTGCCTGTATAAACAACTGTTATAACTGACATGTTTAATGTATTGGCAAGACGATTTGGCGGAGGGATCGTGAAGCAAAAATTGTGTCAAAATTTGGTATACTTAAACGGTGCTATAAACTTAGCTATACTCAATAGTCAAAATGTCACAAACGAAATAGATAAACATGTAAATTTGGAAAGAAAATGAGTCAATCTCTTAATCTAATTTTGACCTACCTTTTCTATAACAGGCCAAACCTGTTTCGTCACTTTCTTCCTGTATTCCTTTATACCTTTTCTTATCTCAGTTGGAATTTCTGGTACTTTTTCTCCTTTCACCTTATCATGAAAACAAATTATTCATATACTTGTGTTCGAATCAATATAAAGAATACTCATCTAGATGCGTTGTAGAAGTGCAAGAAAAGAACAAAAGATGCGTTTGAACTGAAAATGCATTTAAAGCAAAATATCCGTTCATCCAATGAAAATAAAATGCAACTTAACAAAAATTAGATTAAACCCAAGCCAATGAAATAATAATTAATAATGATTAAAAGTAATGTTAGTAGTAGAAGTAGTAATGTACAAATTGTCTTATAATTAAAGACATTTTGACTCGTATGAAAATTTCGTTCTTTGGACGCTTGCAAAATAGGGATTTTTATCCAAGCGTCTGGATGAATGCACGGTCGTCCTTCAGTAGCTTAAAGCATTTAACTCAATGCATCGCTTTAATAGTAATAGTCTTTACAACGAAACAAATTTAAAAAATTAGACATTATATTTGATCAGGCAAAGGGAGACTACTCACCTGACTGGTGGAAAGGGAACGTTTTGGTTTATCTTTTTCCCGGGAATCAGTATGATCATTTTCCTGTATTAGGAATAGGTTATTGTGGTTAGAGATATAGATACAAGTTACATCATTTTAATATTTTTTAATATTTTTTACATGTTTGGTATTAGTGTAATAATTAATGTATATCGCCAGAAATAGTACAAGTTACATGCAAGTCATTATAGATACGACACAACTATGGGGGTTTTTCAATTATCAAAAGTGTCATTATGGTAGTAATGTGTTTAAAAGACATATATTTTTCTTAAATTTGAGGTTTTAAGTTGCCTAGTAACACAAATAATTGTTGACTCGCTTGAAATATTGCGGTATAATGTAAAATGTATTTGTGTTGTTGTTATTGTTTTGAGCAACTTAACAGTTATTATCACAAAAATTTAATGCTGGATCTAATTGCAAGCGTTGCTTTTATACAAAGCGTCAAACCATTGCTCTCAACCTGCATGAATAGAAAATGATTTGCCTTTGCCGTTTGTATAGATTCAGGCCAACCGATAAAGTCTGAAGTCTGACCAGGCTCTATACTGCTGGTAGTAAGTTTTGTATTTTGATATTGAAATTTTCTATTTATATTTCAAAAGATTTCTCTGAATTCAAAAAACGGCAAACCTGTTTCACAAATTCAGCAGGTTAAAGGTTAAATATGCAAGAGGGAAAATGTATAATTAATAAAGGCGCATTAAGCATCAGAAATGAATTCGATTTTTTCTCTGAAGATAGGGAAAACCTGTGCATGTGTTTTGATAACGGAATCACAGAATATTAAGTGTTTATCGCAATAAGAAAGCGGCAACCGGCAATGAATGTGAAATTACTTGTCATAAAACGATAACAAAGAGGTATTTTATTTTCAGTTTAAAATACTAAATCACTGCAACTTTAATATGGTTAAACCCGAAGAAGACGGTTCAGCTATATGGACAATATTTTACCGTTTCGAAAACTGTAACTTAATAAAACATTTCAAATAAGAAAGCTTTCGAGAAATAAAATAATGCATGTTTGGAATTCATAAGCATTTGCCGTCAATAGCTCATCTGCTTATTTCACGTTTGTTTTTTATGTTCGTATAATTTAACTTTAAATATCTAGCACCCAAGACCTGATATGTTGTATTAAATACGGAATAAGCAAAAATGAAAATAAAATAATCAAATAAACCATAAAGTAAAGTGTTATTTTTACGAATGCAGGAACAAGCAAGAGAAAGAATCACAACAGAAAAAATCTAAGCACACAAAAAATCCGTTTCCATGGTGAGTAAAAGTTCTTAAACAAACGTGCAAATAGTTTTGTGTTTGACTTGTCACAAAACAAAATATCTCGTATAATATCGGCATATTCCGTCACATTCCGAAAAGAAAAAACATAATGTTTCATATCTTTTATATCGACGCTTTATAGCAAAAAAACAACTAATTATATGTTCTAGCTTAAAGTTATACCGACGGAATGTGGCGGAATATATGCTGATTGTTTTTTTGGACTTTTTGCTTCAATATCACTTAATATTTTGAATTTCTATTTGAGATCGTTTTTTATTTCTAGCTGAAGATAATTGAAAAGAAAATTAGAAATGTACATGATTATATACAAATGAAGGTCAGTGTTCGGATGGAGCATATACTTGTAGGCTTTTACAATTTATTTAATGAGGATGAATTAGGAAATGATACATAAAGTCAAAATGACTTTTGGAGGAAAGTTAACAAAAGTACATGTATAATATATGTATGTAGACACCTGGCGGTCATAGTAAGGGTTCAGCATATACTTCTTACGTTGGTTTTGTTGTTGTTGTTGTTTTTTTTTTGTTTTTTTTTTTTTTGCTGTTATTATTTAAATACCGATTTTAGATGCTACCTTTACAAACGACAATACTTTGATCTTATCAATCGACATTGAACCTAATTATTTACATAAATTTACTGTTTAGACATTGCTTAATGAATTCTTTTTAAAAAAAAAAAGTTCTTAAATCATTCAATTACATCAAAGACCGGTAAATGTCGTGTCAGCGTATATGCTAAACTTATCAATGACCGATTGATTAAATATGTCACTTACAACTGTCTTTTTCTCCGTGGAAATGTTTGGAAGGGCGGGTCTACTGCCCTTGTGGGATGTAAACCGTGGAATCTATACAGGGTTAAGAAACAAAGGTAAAACAATAGGTCAATCAATTTGAAAGGAAAACTAAAAAGTGATATTGCTTAAACAGCTGAAAATTTGTAAAAAAAAAATCCCATTTTTAAAGACATTTTTATCAATTTGTTATAAATTCAATTTAAAATTAGTAAGATTTTCATTAGTAAGTTTACATTTATAAATTTGTTTGAATGTGAAACATATTGCTCTTTTTAAATATTTAGATTTGTAGATTTTATTATTTTTATCAGCTGCCTAAACTTTATCACCACTAATTGATGGATACGTTTGTTTCAAGTGCTTTGTTTTGTTGAGTTATATAAAATCATAATCATTTTATTGCATATCCTTGTAAAAGTCCATTAGAATTTGGATATTTTGGAGAGAAAAAAATATCAATAACTATGGTTAAAATGATTTTCTCTTTTTGGACAACTTTGAACCAGAAACAAACGTATCAGCTACTAAGCCTTTGCATGGAGTTGTTGACGTTTAAATGTTGAATCATGAAAATGTATCTGTTACCTGCGCAACGACAAAATAATGTACATATTAATATTGATGAAACTAAAAATAGTAACATAAACATTAAAACCTTATACAATTTAATTCACTTCTGTTAATAAGATAAGTTCTGGTTACAGTACCATAAAATATTATTTCAAAAAGAAACAAAGAGGGGAAAAGCAGGTGCAGAAGCCAGAGAACACCGTATTACTATTGGTTCATTTTAATGAGCACGCGAAACCCATGAAGCTAAACGTTATCTACGAAGCTGTTCAAAATATTCAATTCAATTCTATCATTTACCACAATGAAAAAAAATCAAAAAATATTATCAATATCCCCTTTTTCTTATTACTACAACACAGTTAAGTCAGTCTCCGAAACTCACTCAAAATATCCCAACAAACATGTCTACATGAGCACAATACACACGCAGAGCTCAGAAGTTACCTTTGACATTGAATGTTTGGAAGAAGTTGGGCTCCTAAGATGTTCTGTACCATTTGTGTCGGCGTTATTTGTAGGGGAATTTTCTAGGGGAGGTAAGAACAAATCCTCATCTATACGAGCTAACTGATTCTCGGCTGATTCTTTGCAGTGGTTATAAATAGCCTGTTAAAATAGAATAGCATTAATTCATCATCAAAAGAAGACACAAAGTGTTAATAAATTTTATATACACACCATGATATGATTGTCATAAAAAATGTGTGATTCATTTTGTTCAGTTCAGATACATTCCTACTAACTGGTAATAGATCGAGTGTTCTGTTTCTGGAGCAGTACTGCCATATAATATCTTCTTTTGAAACATTTGTAGTAACAGCGGAGGACAAATAACATCATTTGGCATCAACCAACCAATAAACATTGAAAACATGAAATTCATGCAGATCTTGAACTCATGAATTGTAGGTCCATTAATCTAACTGTCTCCCTTCTGAGCATATTGAAAGAGTCCTATAAGTTATAATTATATGTTATGTTTTTTGTACTATGATGTTTTAAAATTAACAGTTACTTAACATTAACTTTTACAGACTCTATAGTGTCTATTTTTTAAAAGCTTTAGAGTTTCTTCCTTTCATATATGAGCCGTGCCATGACAAAACCAACATAATGTGTTTACGACAAGCATGGATCCAGACCAGCCTGCGCATCCGCGCAGTCTGATCAGAATCCATGCTGTTTGCTATCAGTTTCTCTACTTGTAATAGGGTTGGTAAGCGAACAGCATGGATCCTGATCAGACTGCTCGGATGCGCAGGCTGGTCTGGATCCATGCTGGTCGCAAACACATTATGTTGGTTTTGTCATGGCACGGCTCATTAATGAACTTACAACAAGGATGTCTAGTAACGTCTGCAGTATATCTTCCTCATTTTTGCCAAGTTTTTCGAGACCTTCAGTGGCGTCTGTCCATTGGTCGTCGTATATCTGAGAGAGATGTTCGCCTAATTTCTGTGGTCGGTTTGGATCGCTAAGGTCAGAAACGTTCGGATTGTTGTCTAAAACATGAGCAGCTGTTTGTGTACTTAACCTTAAACAAACAAAAAATAGCTAAGTTATTAATTATACCTGATAATCATAAAATAATCTTAATTGGCAGAATTTGTTCCGAAGCTTTTACGGCATCATGACATTTATATATGACTAGAAATGCTTATTAAAATATCAACGGTCTGTTTGTTGTTTTTTAATTACACGATTTTATCTATTTAAGTGACTATGCTATTGATTGTTAAGCAAATGAATGTATTAACTCAGATAGTTGCTCAATATCCGGAAACTGTTACAAGTTTCACAATATAGCTCTGAACGTACTAGAACCGGAAGTTTTCCGCCTTTACATCCGGTATAAAGACAGGTCAGTCTGCACTCACTGCAGTCTATATACTGTTAGTAGTTTCCATTTTGTCTTTTCATATGAAGATCCCTTAATTGGACTTTTCTTAATTCAAAGGCCGGTAAATATATACAAAATTTAAAGGTAAATAATGCAGAAGATACCTAACGAGCAGTTTCTCTTTTGTGTCTTCTGCTTGCTTCAAAGATTCCTTCATGTCTGTGATCATCTGTTCTAATCTCTGTGTATCATTCTTATAGTTCATTTCCAAGTCTTTTCTTTGGCTAAATAGACAAAAGTTTTTGTTTCTCAGATGATATTATACATGAATGTGTGTTAAGACCATATGCTCAAGCTACTTGGTGAAGTTAATAGTCAATTATCACAATTTATTTGTTTTGCTTCCCCCATAAGATGTAATTTGATGCATCATTCAAAATGTTTTTAATTGAAACGATTTTCTAGAACTTTCAGATTACAATGATAAAGAATTTTGAGCATTTATTTTCTTGAGAAACTCGGATTTATTTTTTCCATCCATCTAGATATACTTTTTGTACACCTTTATTAACTTTGATAATAAAAGTAAGAACAATTTTAAGGGTATTTCTAGTCTCCAAGACACAAAATCTTGGCCAAAAATAACAAACAACAAAAACAGTGAGCATAGGTGTATAGTACGTAATGCTCCTAGCATCATAAATTTGTTTCGAAAAGTACGAAGAAGGTAGTTTTACACGGGGTTTGTATAATAAAACAAAAGCATTTTCTCACTTTTCCAGTTCTTCATCTTTTGCAGCTTTAATTCTTTCAACTTCATTCTGAAGTTCCTCTTTCTCCTTTTGGAGTATCTCTTTATCACTAAGCAATCTGAATAATACAGGTATGGTATAATTTATGTTATAACGGGGTTGACTGGCCGATATAATTTAAACGTATGGAGTCCCCCCACTTGACATATTTTCTGAATGTTTTCGGATCAAACAGAGTATATCTTTATCTTCCATATGAAACAACGGGTCATTTACTTTGAAATATCTTTCAGTTTTGCATGAAAAAAAAATGTTTCCCTTAATTCATTCTTATTTAAACATCCGTATTACATCACTTGAACTTTAGTGAATACGAGAGAAAAACTCTAGTAGAAAGAGTAATCCCTCGGAAGCATCAATAACAACAAAATTACATAATAATTGCAGACTCGGTTTGATTGAGTCTGTACACGAGGGATAATGAAAAAGTCAAAGCATCCCTCACGACTTGAGCGGTACTCAATTTGCAACACTTAATAGTGCTGGAATCAATGATCCCAAAGGACCAGGAAAAAAATCCAACACTGAATTTTTCGAAGTAAAGTAAAAATTATTTTATCGAATGGATGTGATAGAATTTCAATAGTTAAAATGGTGACAGGCTAGACTGTATGACCTTAGAGTAACTTTAATACCTGCTATTTTCTCTCTCTTTTTCCAGTCTCAGGTCCCTCTCTTTCTTTAATTCTTCTTCCGCGTTTTCTATTTTTGCCTTCCATTCATCAGACGGGGCCCTTTATAAGAACAAAGAAAATATGCGCTATACTTTGATATTCCATACGCTATATAAATAACAGTGTGTAAAATAGCCTGTGATTATTTTAATGCATGTCTTATCTATACTAAGTAATCTAATTTTTTTTTAAATATTTAAGATTTCGTAGGACAGAAGTAAGCAGTAAAGAAGCGAATTTAAGGTCCAGTGGTTAAACGCTGGTCTAGCAAATTTACCCACAGTAAAAATCCCTTGCTAACCATATAAAATGATATTTGGACAATATCTAAACAACCAGGAACAATGTATCTTTGCTGTACACTGAGCAGATAGAAGAATCAGGATCACCCCTTGAACCGGGTAATTGTTAAATAAGGGAACGTCGCAGATACAGACAAACAAAATGTGGCAGTAAATAAACCGGACAAAACAGTAATACGTAATAAAAACAAAGATGTGGCCATTTGCGAGGTAGACAGAGTATAACAAGAAAAGAAAGTCGAATGCGGAAAAATTGAAAATGTTGCAAAGTCGGTTTGATTGAACCTGTTCATGAACGGTACTGCCAAGTGAAAACTACCGTCCACGTCCCCTAGCACCTCCTATCAAAGATACCAACCTTGTAGGACTTCTCGGTATATGACTTTCTTTTTTGGCAATTTCTAGTTCTTTATTTGTGTGCGCAAGCTTATTTTCAGCTGTATCTTTTTCACGTTTGCATCTAAAGTTTAAAAAAATATATAAGTGCTATTATCTTTATCTTCCTATAAAAATACATAATGTAAAAGACTATTTCATTGTCGTTTCATAAAAGGCATACATAATGTTTTATTTCGATTCTTGATGTGGATTTATTTTAAACAATTACAGCAAATTACTCGAATTTAAATATATGTTTCCTTTTCTCCCAAGGTTTGATAATATTATAACTATACATGTATATTGTATTAAAACATAATTGCATTAATGTTTTTATTAATTTAACACTTGATAAGATAATATCACGTTTTCACGTTTACTTACTTTTCCTTCTCTTCTTCAATTTTTACTCTATCGCGTTTCTCCAACTCGATTTCCTCTTTTGCCTGCTTCAGCTCATTTTCCAACTTCTTCAGTTTCGCTTCTCCAGTGTTTCTTTCCGTTTCAAGTGCCTTATTTGCTTTCTTTAAATCCTCGGATACTTTGTTTATTTCTTCTTCGCCTTTTTTCTTTTCGTTTTCAAACTCTTTCTTCAGAGATTGAAGCTGTTCTGCAAGGCCACCTTTTTCTTCGTCAAGTCTAGTTTTAAGATAAAGGTATACAACTGACGTCGATGGAAGATATAAGTAAAACCATAGAGTGACAAATATCATATACATGTATATTTGTAAAATGGAATGATAAAAACAAATTAAAGAATATCTAATGAAGCATTTCGTTAAAATGATAACTGTTTCGCTTCACAGAATAACAATACTGACTATACTGGAAGAAAAACGATGCAACATAATGCTTCTTTTAAAATACTCTTTCTGACGAACTATGTTCGTCCATAAACGTAAATATGCAAAAGTTAAATAAATGGAGGTAAATTTCAATTTAATATGTAAGATTTTGAAAACGTTTACTGTATTTGTGTTTTATTTTTCTGTTCTTTACGCCGATCACACATTTTGTCATAACTCAGAGGTCGGCATATCTTACCAGTTTTCCTGGATAACTAACCTGTACATGAATTACAAATATCTATGAAAATAACACACTCCTAGTACCACGTGAGCGATTGAGATACAAATGACCATAAGGCTCAAATACCCGAGATCAATTTGTCACGTAGAAATTTTGCCTCGCTCAAGGATCGAACCAGCAAATACAAATCTTGATGCTCTAAGATAGAACCGGACGGACATGGTCATAGATAGATGAACATAATTATTACGTTTTTTATCTTGTTGTTATTTATTATATTAATGTTTTCTTTTAAAAATATCAATTTAAATGTAAATTCTTAATTGTCAATCATCTGTAACGAAACTTACAGTTTATTAGAAGACGTTACAGCTACTTCAGTGACTTTATTAGAATCTTCCTTTACTTTAGCTTTAAGCTGAGCCTTAAGATCAGTGACCTGTTGTTCAAATTTTCTAACTTTCTCCTTCTCGTCTTTAAGATCCTCTCCGAGTTTGCGGAATTTCTCCTCATACTCCTTAAGGCGATCATTCAGTCTTGGCACTATTGTGGCGTCTTCAGTTAATTCCTTTGCTGCGCTGAAAATTATCAATATTTTGTGTAAATTTCATTGTGTTCAGAAAATAAGTTGGCAGATTTCTACCCTGTCAAACTATATAACAAGATGATGTAAGGGGCCTGTATTAAAGAAATAAATAGGTTTTTTGTTGTTTTTCTTTTTTTTTTCTTTTTTTTTTTGGTTTATTGCGGGGTTTTTTTGCTGTTGTTGTTGTTGTTGTTTAAGAAATAGGGAATGTTTTACCGCAGATGTTTTATGTATACATGTATGTACTTTGCAGTGAAAGTCAGTAAGATAATACTGTAAAAAGTAAAGCATTGTATGCCAGAAACTTTTACAAACATTGGTATTTGCACATTACATGTATATTACCCTCTCTCGTGATTATACACACATAGAGGATATTGAATGAGTGTAGGTTCAATACTGAATTTATTGAACGCAGGATCTACACGAATATAATATTCTACTTATCACATAACCACAATTAGTTTCCATTGACGCGCTTATAGCGCAAAGCTTACATACACTATGTATAACGCAAATAATGATATTATATGCAAAGCCATGCAACAATTTACACCTTTTACTGAATTCCATAATGTTTTCAACTTGTTTATTTGTAAAGACTGAAGCTGAACATTGTAAATATATCGTTAGGTTTCCTAAATTTTAGTCAGGACGAAAACCAGACTCGTTTGTCTTTAATTCGTTGGACTAATGGAAATATGAGTTTATCGCCTTTTCAACTTTACTAGTTGTGTACTTTTTCCGTGTAATAACCAACTGGCCCAAAACTTCGAAAATAAGAATATTTTTGTTTTTCCCTGCTAATCTGGGGATACAAACAAACTTTTACAGTGGAACGGTAGTGCAGCGTAAAGCTATAACGGTATAAGTTACATTGTACTCAAGGATTAGCTTGGAAAAACTCCACATTTGCAGACATTCTATAAACGTACTTTGTACGATTCGAACTTACGGTCGCCATGGGCAATGATTGTGTGTCATCCACCTTGACTAATAAGGATAATGTATATATTGATTTAACAAAATCGTTTTAGTTATCATAATGTCACATTAAGCCTGGCGCCCGGATGATGTGTCGGTCGGGTCGGGGTTTATTTGAGATATCTAAGGTGTTGCTCACATCGCTCTCTTTTTACAGATGGTTGTTACACATCAAATGAGGTAGAGAGTTAGAGATGTTTTAATTAAACACATACTGACACATCATTCGCCCCCAGGGGGATAAATGTCACGTCTAAAATGTAATCTAATTATTACGTTAATTACAACGTGTTACGTTTTCTTATAACAGATGATCTAAAAGATTAATTGATCGTCTCCGTCTATGTCTGTCTGTGTCTATCTGTCACTTTTCTCTACTAGGGTTTTGTTTTTTTTAACTTGACAAAATATTTCACAGGTAAATTTGCGTATTTACACTGCTTTTTTAAAGTTTGGTACAGTCCATCGTCAACGTTGGGGATTTCAAAGTCAAAATATGTACTTTATCAATCAGTCAACCGGCTACTATGCTTTTTAGGCTGATTAAGGTCTACATTAGTGGCGTTGATTTTTCGAAATCGCTGACATCGGGTAATTGTTTTAGCTGGGTAACAATCTTAAACGTTTGAATGAATACACATGTATGTAAAACGGAATTATTTGAAGGTTGTTACAGAATGACACGTTAAATCTAAAAAAAACTACCGTGGTCTACCTTGGTTTGTTTTATTAGCTTTGCAGAAGTTACAGAAGTGTTATATTTCCAAATAGATAATTATTCTTATAAGTGGGTGTTAAAAATGTCATAAGTTTCCTGTAAAAAAAATTGCATTATCTATAAGTAAAAAACTCATAAAATGATACAAAAATGCGGTGTTAAATGTTCATCAATGTACAAAGTTCGTATGATTTCGTTTCACATGATTTGATTTACTTTTGTATAAAACCATTGAAGAAGAAACCGCAGTTTTATTTATTAAGACGAACTACATTCTTGGTTTCCCACAATGCAATCTGTCAATTTCATAGATTTTCACGGTATTGTTGCGTATGAATACAAGTATATTATGAAGAGAAAGTTTTGTGAAATAAGTGCATTAATTAAGTAACTTATAAATCATAATTTTTGCATTGCTTTTATAAAATGAAAGCTTATATATCGCCAAAAAGCTGTGTCGCAATATAACCTGGAACTAATTGTAGCACTGTCATTCAAACAATTGTCTATTGTTGTTGTTGTTGTTGACGTCGTCGTCGTATGGTCCTCGTCAATATTGTTGTTTTTGTTGTTGTTGTTATTGTTGTTTAAGTATAATATAATAATAAGTCAAGTGTTTCATCATAGTAAATGAATGGGACATTTAATTCATATCTTCTGCAAATGCTACTAAAACGACAGCTCTTTGTTAACATAATCATTAGTTATTTCAAAGCTCAAAAAAGTTGACATGAAAACGTGGCAAATGTAATTTTCTTCTTATTTTTTAAGCGTTTAACTACTTTATCTAAATTAATATCAGATATTTCATCTTGCTCACATATTTCACCTCAGGAGCAATTTTAATACAAAACAGTGGACGAATCACGTGACTAATATAAATACTTGACCATATGTCAGTATTGATGATTATGTAAATATTATCTTAGTTGACATATGGCATATGTCGTAAAATCAAATATATTTCAGCTCACGTCATGATGAAACTTTTTTTTGCTTGATGGTATAATTATTTATATAATGATTATAATATATTATATTAGTAGATCTGTACAAATAACAAATTCCTTATTATAGAAAATATTTTGCCTGCCCTCTGACCTGATGGAGACACCTTTTTTCTCGAATTCTGGGTATAACGATGTCCCCATATATACAATCGTGCTCTAACACACGAAATATACGGTGTACAAGAAGGGCTTCTCAAAACTTTAAATACATATATTTATAGCTAATGAACCTTGAACTGTTTTCGTCTCATGAATGAAAGTGTATACTTTATTACAGGTAAACTGTGTTTACTACAAAACCTATTTCATCTTTCGCTACATTTGCTTCATAAAATGTTTATAGCTCTTTATAAAAACCTTTAATGACCAAACTGTTGGCAAACTTTCAAAACAATCAACATCGTATCTTACAAATTTAAATAGCTGCAAAACATTAAAGCTGTAATTTTCTATGCATAGATTCATGTTAACATGCATTGGTTTAAATTAAGGCGACATTCTGTTTTGAATATTGTGTAACTACAGTGAAACCTGTTGTATGCAAATTTGTTGTATTAAGAGACTATTTATCCAAAATGTGTGTAACATTCACCAAAACCTGTGTTCACTGATGATTCGCATTACATTTTTTCTTTGAAATAAATGTGAATCTAGCACAAATACATGTATAGTTTGCTTTAGGAAAACACCGGTCGTTAAAGACCACGTTTTTCATTGGTAAACCCCAGTTATTGTTCACATATAATAATAAAAGCCTTGTTTTCATAAGAAATGTGTCTATTCCTTTTGCCATTACCGCGGAAATGCTGTTGTCCTAGTTTATAAAAGGGACTCCACAGAGTTTTTTTTTACATGCTGGGACTGGAAATATTTTTTTCAGATTAATATTCCATTTGATGTGGGTCTCGACCAATAACTTATGTGCAAAATTTCAGATCAGTCACTAATTTACTTTTTTTTTTCATTTTAAGAAATGACCTAAATTGAAAAGCGTTGGAACGCTTTTCCCTCAAATCGAGATAAGAATAGCACAAAAATACGATTTTCAATTTATTTCTGACTATATTTCTAACTTATCTTTTGAATGTCTTTCTATTTTAAGTTCATGTTATGTCATAAGTTCAATAATTTTGTGATTTTAGGGTTTTGAACCTCATTGGTGTTCCTTTAAATTCGGGTATATCTGTCAGTCTGATTATGTGATTTCAGTTTAAGCATCTAGACGTAATCAGTCTAATCTTGACATATTGCACGGATAGTGCAATCTGTCGCCCACGTCACTAAGAACGCTATTTGAATTTCTATTACCTATAAATGCAAGGAAAAGTGTTGACATTGAAACCAATTATATTATTATAAATGAGACTTTCTAAAGTAATTTGAATATTTCTGACTCATTATCGTGTTGCAATTTTCTGATTCATGGTATTATGATTTTAATAGGTTGTTTTCTACATTGTGTTAATGTTACTTTATAGAAAACTCCATATATTACTTGTACTACTACAATAATTTATCTATTTGAAGTTTAACACCTAACAAGTAAGAATATATATGAGCCGCGTCACGACAAAACCAACATAATGGGTTTGCAACCAGCATGGATCCAGACCAGCCTGCGCCTCCGCGCAGTCTGATCAGTATCCATGCTGTTCGTTATCAGTTTCTCTATTTGTAATGAACATCATGCATCCTGATCAGACTGCGCGGATGCGCAGGCTGGTCTGGATCCATGCTGGTCGCAAACCCATTATGTTGGTTTTGTCGTGACGCGGCTCATATGTTTGCTTTATATAAAGCTTAATTGACCATTTTTGTTATTATTTCCCACAAACATTTGTTTAACAATAATGGGTTACTCTTAGTTGTTACTGTAAAAGGATTTTCTTTTATAAAAAACTAGAATTAAAATTATGCGAACCAGTAGATTGTGACCAAACTTCGTATTTATTTTTAGTCTGGTCTTGTTCCTTCCATTCTGATAAATAGACAGGAAGCATCCCTCCCTCGTGCCCCGGTTGCTTACCCTTAAACTTGCTGAAACAACAGGCGTCCGGCCCATTTATCATGCCAATAATGGTCAAATTATCATAAAATAATCACCACTTGATCATCAAGAAGTACAGTACTATTCAGCTGGAAATGGAAGTGAATAGCGTGTGTCACCATATAGAGCCTGGACAGCCCAGCATTCCCGTACAATCTATCGGTCTTAATATTGAAACCCCTTAGATTCCAACCTCCATATCAGGGCAAATCCATTATACACAAATTCAGTAG